TTCGTCTTGCTGAGAATCCTACTGAGAAACAGAAACCCCTGAATTTTCATGCTTGCTTCATCCAAGCTCACTTTGCAACTGCTGCCAAGAGCTGAACTGCTGATACAACTCTGATCTGCACAGCACCCTCAGCTCCTGCAGATGTTGCTGATGGCAGCTGACCTATATATAAAAAAGCAGCATTTTCCTATTTTGAAAGAAGTCTGAAGATAACTAGGAATGGTGACTTTTCGAAGAAGCTCACAGTTGTAATGGAGGTTTAACCCCCATGTACTAATAACTGTTCCTGCCTGACTCCTTCCAGGTACCTCCTTCACTCTTCTGATGACCTATGACATTCCTACATCTCATTTTGTCCCACTGAGTAAAACAGAGCCCGACAATCATGCACAGCTCCATTAGGAGAGTTTTAAATTCAATGGCACGTTGACGAACAAGGCATGTCCTCCTCTATAACACAGGGAGGAATACAATCGCATCAGTATCATAACCTGCTTAGGCTAATGTACCTCAATTTATAGGAAAGCCAAGCATCGACATTACCAACAAGACAGTCTGGGACTACACAAATACACATTTGCCTCTGAAGTTCTTAGCATCCTTGTAAGGTAAGCCAAACCTATAAGGAAGAAATCACGCCCTAAAGCCTATACCATGTGTGCCTAACACAGCATTCATTACGAGCTGGCAGCTCTTTCTGGCCCAGTGTACGTGGTTCTTAAGATGCCCTGAAGATTCAGAGTGTGGAACACGTGGAGCTTTTACCATAACCACTGGAAAGTTCAAAAGCTCCTTTCTGTCCTTCTGCCTGTGGGGTGGATTTGGCACTCAGGCTGTGCACAGAACAGCTCTGGCTTTGCCAAAAAGCGAGGGCTGGTGTTACACACGCCTCATTGCACAGCTCCGTCTAAAACGGCTGCTAAAACAAAGCTGTCAGCCTTCAGGGCTGCTGGGGACCAGCTTCAGTTGCGGGTCCCCACATTAAGTCCTTTCATCCTCTGCTGGGATCAGTAAATAAGAAAGGTGAGCAGTAGATTCTAAAATGCCACAGGGGAGGGCCAAGTCGCACAACGTGAACCTAAAATACCAAACGACTTTACTGAATGGATCCAGACACAGTTTGAAGCCTGTTCTTTGGCAGTAGAACGCGCTGAGCTCTTTTGGGCATGTGAGGCACAGCAGAGTTCAAACTTCCACAGGGTTTTTTACATTGTTAAGTACTCCGTGACCTTCAACAGCACTTAAGGAGTGCAAAAGTAGCAACAGCTTCAAAGTTCTTTCCCGTTTTTCCCTCCAGTGTTTTCCCATCTAGCCACACCCGCTGCACCTTCCATGGTCAGCGGCTCGTTTCAGTGCTTGAGTACGAGGATGCACTTTCCATAACACAAAAGGTAACAATAAAATAAATTACGCACCCTGCATTTGCATTCCTTAAGAACATACTACTTCTCAGTGAGTTCTACTTAACTTTATAACAGTTACTGCAATCTCAAAGCACTGAAGGATAACAGTGTCACACATCTCCCTACACGTGATGAGAGCAGAGGTTTGCTCTGTTCAGACAGACTTTCAAGGCTGGTTAGAAGAGATTCTGTCCTACGCAATATGTTCCAGGTCCCCGTATTCTGCAGGACATGAGAAAATTACCAGTGGACCTTGTGAAGCACCTCCCAGAAAGACACAGAGCTGGAAAAGAACCATCAGTTAAAGCGATGCGTAGGGCAGGACTACAAATTGCCATCTGGCAATAGGGTAAGGAAAGGCATCATCATTGGCGGCTTCCACCTCCACAGAGAAAGAAACAACTGTTTGTGCAGTAAAGTGGTTTGAATACTTGGGAAGGTCCCCAACTAGCAGAAAAAAAACAACACCAGTAACACAAAAACAACCAAAAACCACCTAAAAAAAACACCCTACATCATCAGTTGGACAAAAGACAATAAATCAGAATAAATAATGAAAATAAAGATGTTGAAAACATAAGTAAACATCTCCCTGGTGCAGGGAAGAAGGAAGCATCCCGAATGCCTGATCTGACAATATGAGAAAGTTAATTAAAAACACAACGCTGGATTCTTATGAGCATCTGTTCGGCAAAGGTGCTGCCACTGATGTGTTGAGGGATAGATACATCACCTGAACACTGGGACTTACACCGCTGCCTGGTGAGGAGATGCTGAATACAACAGACGGGGAAATGGTATTGTATTGACAGGAGCATCGCTTGTTTACAAGTTGCTGACAACTCCGAGGCAAACCATCCTGGCAGTCGTGGATCAGTGACCTCATACCCAGAGCACAGTGGGACAGGGCACACCGGCCATTAACCTGCAGCAGGGAACAGAACGTCCGGGCCCTCAGCACCCAGCCAAAAATGTTCGGAGCTTCCTCTCCCTTCATGACCCCAGACTGTTAGCATTTGTGACTTACACTCATTAAACAGATGCTGAAACAATCATTCTATCAATTTTGTGACAGACTTATGATTTCTAAAAACTAGAGAAATCAAAATCATAATATAGAATCACTGCATTTGGCACAGGGAAATCTTATGTGATGGAGAAAGGGAAACTGATCACTGAAATAAAGGTTACACACGGCTTAACTGCAAGCGGTTATGCCCTGATTGCATTTACTATGTGCAAACAGAACAAAAACCAGTTCATACTGATTTAGGGCTTTAGAAGTTACAGTTGCATAAGAATGGAAAAATTCTTAAACTTGGGGAAAGCATTTGACTTAACATGGTCACGTATCTTTGAAGTAAGACTTTTCTAAACCCAAAAGTCACATCCAACCAAAATGCTGTCAGTGTTTGCAACAACTTGATGAAAACTTGAAGCAAATTTTAATCCTCTCCCTCAGGCTACAAGGAAATGAGCAGGGGAAATGGGGGAAAGCTGAAGGATAGCAAGGAGCCCAAATGAAATGCTACAGGCTGCTGAGGCAGAGAAACAAGGAAAGTGTTTTGAACAAAAGGAACCCCAACACAGCCCAGAGCCGTCACTGCTGAAATTCTTCAGTGAGGGGAAATTTGCAGAAGGCAGAACAGCTCAACAAGGAGCTCCAGCACTCTGCAATGATACACTGGCATGCAGGAATAGATACTGTCTGTTCTGATAACAGCCACCAGAGCTCAGTAACACCAGTTACGGCCAGACACTAAAACATCAGAGAGGTGACAGAGAGGAGAGCAACCTTAGAAGCGCTATGAGCAGGGAAGCGCCGCACACAGAGAAGCTCTACCTCAACAATACACATCTGGAACAGTCCCTCCATGCAGGGACGTTGCCAAAAGGCAACAGCAAAGGGCTTCTCAGCCAAGCAAAGTTACATGAACCCCTCTCCTGAAGTCAGCAGTAGATCACCTCAGTTACAGCAAGCGGCACCCGTTGCACTCTGGCCTGGGGAACTCCTTCATAGCAGGGCTGAGGGACAGCCTCACTGGCAGGAGGTCAGGGCAGGAACAATTGGGTTCTGTGCATGGTGCGTGCTTGGTCAGAGCTCTGCACTGAGGGCAGCCCTATAGTCTGCAGCACACAGCCAGCTCCCAGCAGAGGTGATGGGCTTCTGTCAGCACCCACAGGTGACAGTGTATGAGAGCCTTCTGTGCACACACACAAAACAGTTGCTGGTAAAAACCACGCAGCTCTCAGAATTCCTCTCTCATTTTTACCTTTTAATGGGCTCTTTGTGTTCAACTAACAACTTTCACAACAAACTCCACTTATTTATGTAACGTTTGCAAGCACTTGGGCATCTCCACCGTGCTCTCCATTGTAAAACAGAAGGCATCGCTCGCAGCTCGGAGAGCAATACCTCAGCCTGAGTTACTGCCCGCGGCACCGGGACACAAAGCAAACTCCTCCACGGTGAAGCCCGAGCGGCTCAGAAGTGAAGCACGGGCACCTGCCGGAGCGCTGCCCGCCTCCGTGCGCGGCTACGGGAGCGGGTGCCGAGCTCCAGCCCCGCGCATCCTGCTGAGCGCGCAGCCGGGCATCGAGGCGCGCCGCGGGCATCCTCAGGAGCCAACGAGGCGTTGCCCCGAGCCTCGGCGGTTCGGATGACAGCGGCCCGAAACACCTGGAGGAAGCCCGCCAGCCCTCGGCAGAAGCCGGCCCGCCGATTCGGGCAGGGAGATGAAAGTTCTCCGCTCTCCTTTGCAGCCGACAACTCCGACGAATCCTCCTCCGTCCCACGGCAAGCGACAGCGCGCGCAGGCTGCCGACTTCGCAGAGGCAGGGGCAGCGCGGCCGGGCAGGAGCGGCGCCCCGCAGCCCCCCGCGGGCTCCCCGCCGCTCCCCGCACACACAAACGCCCGCACGCTCCGGGGCGCGCGCTCCGCCGCCAGACAAAGGGGAGGCGGCGGGCGGGGCCGGAACACCGCGCCCACCCCGCGGGAGGCAGCGGCCCCGCCGGGCCCGGCTCCCCCTGCCCGCCCGCCCGCCCCCGCGGGGCTGGAGCCGCCCTTTCCCCGGGGAGGCGCCCGCCCTGCCCCTGCCCCGCCGGGCAGCGCCGTGCCCGTCGCCAGGAGAGCGGGCACGCCCCCGGGTCACCTCCCGCCGCCCCGAGCCCCCTCCCCGCCGCAGGGATCGCCGGCCGTACCTGCCGCCGCCGCCGCGCCGCCTCAGCCCGCGCCGCCCGCCCGCCTCCTCCGCTCACGGCCGCGCCGCCATCTTGCGTCTCACAAACTACTGCACTTCTTTTGGGGCGGGGGGGCGGCGGCCGAGCCGGGAACTCCCAACGCCGCCCGGGCCCTCGCCTCGCCGCCGCCCGCGGCGCCCACTCGCATCCTCCCGGCGCCTCGCTGCCCCGGGGCGGCCGCGCGGGGAGGACGGGCAGCGGCGGCCGTGCCTCTGCCTCCCTCGCAGGGAGCGGGGGCGGAGCCGCTCGCCGCCCCGCCGCCGCCCCGCCTGTCGGCGGCGGACACCCGGCGGAGGCCGGTCCGGGCCCGCGGCGGTGCCCGCTAACTTAGCGCCCGGCCGTCGGCTTCTTCAGCCCGCGGCTTGCCGCACGCGCCCGGCCCTGAGCGACGGCAGCGCTGCGCGGTCCCGAGCCGCCGTGCCGCGGGCGGGGGGAGAGACGGCCCGCACTGCCCCGTTCTCTGGCGAGAGGTGGAACTTGGACATCTTCTTTCTCCAGCCACCTCGGACACGTCGCTCTTAGCTCCCACCGAGATACTTTGCGACGCACCGCGATTACATGCTATGTAGGCTGCTCCGAAAGTAATGCCGCCCGTTGATTTCCTTGGAAACGACAACAAACACAAAGAGCACAGGAACACTGGAGGACAGAGCAAGTTCTCAGCTAAGAAGTGCTATTTTCCAACAGTCAGCACCGTCAGCTACGTATTTCTGCCAGCAGCAAACGGCTGCACGCTGTGCTCATGGAGATGTGCGCTACTGGAGCTCACCTACTGTTTCTCAATGTTTCACCAGCCACCACCTCCCTGTGCTCACATCCCGTTTGGTGTCCTTAAGCATTCAGCAAGCACCCACGAATGTCAGAGTGCCATTTCTTCCACATGGCCAAATTCAATTCCACACCTTTACTTCATACACACTTTTGTATCAGACACCATTCTATTGGATTGCCCCTCTGCTGCCGTCTGTCACACGACAAAACATAACAGAATAGTGGTGGGCAGCTCCAACTGCTGTACCACCAACATCTGCCTCTGACCCTGTAGGCCAACATTATAAAATAGGAGGCATAACTTTCGGAGCAGCCTTTGTATTTCCTCTATCACTACTTGCAGCTCTGACTCAGATACTACACGTGATTGATTCCCAAGAGAGAAAAAGCAGAATGTGGCTTGTGGAAACTGCTAACAGTAACAGGGAACAACTCATGGAACACTGAGACTTCCAGGTTTTTAAGTTTTTGAAACTGTAGAGGTGTGCTTTGTTATTGAGATGAACAACAGGAGAGGTTTGCCCATAGCCTGAAGATCAAGTTTGCTCCTGGTTCCTCCTTTCCAGTCACGCCTTGTGAGGATGAAATCTTTGAGCTGCCATGCAGAGAGCTGACTGCACATGATTGTATGGTGATAAGGGATGAGGAGAACCCGGGAAGCACAAAAGTGTGTTGTATGCAGCTCAGAAACTCTTACAGAAAAGACTGGGGATTTCTTCACTCCATCTCTGTTACAAAGACATTTCCAACAAAGTCACTCAGAGGATCAGATCAGCGAACCGCATGCACACCTCGAACAAATCTGTGATACTAACCAAGTTGCAGAACAAGTTAGGGAAAAGCAAAGTTGACTCCATTATTACATTTTTAACGTAATATACATTAACATGTGAATTTCAGATGTACGCTTTTCTTCCTCCTGCCTTTGCTATTGCCACATAAGCAATATACCATAAACAAGGTAAGCTACTCCCATAAAGCACCTCTTTTAAAGCCTTCAGACTCATACTGCTTTTTTAAAGATTTTTAATGAAAAGAAAGAAACAAATGGACATTCATTTCTCATTAATACTCATCCAAACAATACAAATGAAAAAAGAAATCCCACATAGTTTAGAATGTTGGCACGCACTAGAAAGAAACAAGAACACACACATAAGAAAGCACACACGGGGATTGCACAGTTAGGTATTCAGTGACATACCAGCAACAGATACTGCTACATTTTTCATCATTATATAATTGTTTTTTGAAAATAAAATCTTCCCCCATCTTAGGTTAATTTAAAAAACTGTCACATTAATTTTCTCCACTGGTTTGAAGAGAAATCTACCTCTAAAACAGAGGCTTGCTCTGATATTTCTTACATATATTCTTGGTGAAATATAGTTAATTTTAAGAAATAGACAAATAGATTCTCTCTTGGTCACTAAGAAAATTATTTACAAATTTAATTCAACTATAAGGCACTATCCGTGCAACTAATAATTTATATTAAATTAATAAATATTAAAATACTACTTTCCAGTATAAAGATTGTCACTGTTAGAAGCAAGACCAAGCATCATGTTAGGAAGTTTCAATAGCAAGCTTGGCTTTGCCTCTCAAGTTGGGATTTTAATCGTTGAAAATATACCATAGCAAAAAATCTTTGTGGAATTGTTTTCTCCCACATACTGTCTTTATGTTGTTAATTCCAGGAAAGCCACATGAGATACTATCGGGCAATTAAAAAAAACAAAACAAACAAAAAAATCTCTGAACTGCACTAAGAGTTTTCTAAAGGCATTAGATTTCATATGTCAGAATCAGACTTGTTTTAAAACCCTTACATACCATGCTGTACAATATATATCACCAGAGATTCCTGCAGAAAAAAATATATATGGGAAAGGATGATAAAAGCTTATCGATTTATTCATCCTTTTCTTTTAAGAAGAGGCACTGGAAGCATCTGGAAGACATTCACATCTACACTGTGACAAAGGCACTGACTGCAGTACTTCACAAACCACACAACATGAGGCTAAGGTGCTGTGTATTGGAGAGGACAGCTGAACACACTGATCTCAAAAGACCAAACTCCTTCTGTCCGAGCTCGCTGTTCATCACAGAATATCAACAAATACGGGGAAAGAATACAAAATAAAAGCACTTTAAAGAGTTTCTGAACATTAAAAATATATTTTAAGATAAATTTGTTTTATATACGTAAAGTACTGAATTACACACAAAAAGAACAGAAGAATATGCAATGAAAACAACTTTGCAGAACAGAAATCAAGTATGTCACAGATCATATTAGCGCTAAGGCTTTAATTTCTTTCTTCATTACCTAATAAGAAAAAAAAAAACAAAAATATTAGTAAACAGAAATAAAACTGATAAACACTTTCTACTTTTCCATAAAATGAATAAAGAATTTGTAATTACAGCTAATTGTTAGTCATACTTAGCAAACAGTGTGCTGCCTCTCTCACAATGCCTTGTTATCCCCTTTAGCTTCAGATACATCCTCATGCATCCAAACTGGAGATTAGCACATAGAAACTCTATGGATCTATACTGTAGAATCATAGAATGGCTTGGGTTGGAAGGGACCTTAAGATCATGAAGCTCCAACCTCCCACCACAAGCAGGACCACCAACCTCCCCATTTAATACTAGACCAGGCTGCCCAGTGCCCCATCCAACCCGGCCTTTAACAACTCCAGGGATGGGGCATCCATCACCTCTCTGGGCAGCTTGTTCCAGCACCTCACCATTCTCTTGTTAAGGGACTTCCCCCTGACATCCAACCTAAATCCTTCCTCCCTCAACTTAAAACCATTTCCCCTTGTCCTGCTATTATCTACCCTTTCAAAGAGTTGACACCCCCCTCCCCCCTTGGAGGCTCCCTTTAGGTACAGAAAGGCTGCAATGAGGTCACCCTACAGCCTTCTCTTCTCCAGGCTGAAATATATCAACAAGAGGTAGAAAATAAATTAAAAGAAAATGGCTTGCTTGAAGTATTACAAGTTAAGTTACAAAGGCTCACAAACCCTGATATAAAATAAATCCCTTAAATAAATTTCTTCTCAAGCTAAAACACATTGTTATCCTAGATAAGAGAAGGGTGCAGTTTTTCCAAGGGTGGCTTCCCTTAATCCAAACACTCCTGACTCTCCTAGTCAGAATAGAGCATCTGTTCTAACTCTTTATCAGATGTGGAAGAAGAAATAAAGATGACCGGTGCCTAAAAAAAAAGAGGCTTCCTCTTTTCAAAGCAGACTGAGAAGCATAAAGAATTTTATCTGTTCTCAGGCACAAGCAACTCAAAGACAAATGGGTTCAAGGATCCTAACTCTAAAGACTGAATATCCATTGCATCCAAGTTGACGCAATACTGGGGATGCCTGACTTGGACCATTGTGCCTCAGGAAGATTTCTGTTGAGTTCCGACAACTCCAAAATCCTCTTTTACAGGAAGAGATCAGAGAATTGGACCCATTAGCGTACAACTGACACTGGCAGAAATCTCCCTTTATGTCAAATTACAGATGTTCAAGCACACTGGTTAAAAATTGACTTTTCTCTAGTCTCACTAGAATCTCTCCTGTTACGTTTCATACTTTAATTGCTCTTAAGGATGGAATGTCTACCAAGTATCACCGTGTCTTCCTGCCTGCAGGGAGAGAGAGGAAGCAGAACACTTAGAAAAGCACCCCTTCACAGCCCCCCACCCTTAAGTCGGTTCTCAAGAAAAACTACTGACAGATTAATACTAACTGCTTGGAAAGGGCTGTGTGGGTGACTCATTGTCTTCAAGTTCAAGCTTTTTCCTGCTGAAACCACCAATTATGCCAAATCTAACAATGGTTTTGCAATATGGATAAATGCCTCCCAGACTGAAGTGAAAAAGTCTTACTTTGGTTTTTGTCTTCGCACAGACAAGAAAGCAGTTAAGAGTAATGCTAAAGAAGCATGATATCCAGAACGCACATACACTGTGTAACAGGGATAGAACATGCTATAAGACAAAAATTACCTTCAGTAATTCGGTTTTGTCATAATCTTCCCGATGTTGATAAATACACTGACAAATTGTAGCATATAATTTTTCAAAATGGAATACATCAGCCTCCTTTGTTAGCTCAGTGACCATATTCAACAGTTGCTGAGGAAAAAAAAAAAAGGAAAAAAATACAAGTTTAGAATAGCAAGAGATCCTTGGCTCTTTTGTTTTTGGAAGTTTAGCAGTAATATTAATAAGTAACAGTACTAGCAGGGTGTCAGCGGGCTGTTTTAAGGTAAAAGGGCTGGTTGAATTTTAACACTGAGGTAGAGAAACTGCCTCCTAAGACAGTGCTTATCAAAAGTAAAAACAGCAGCCTACAGAAATCTACAGCATCTGTAGGTGTGGAAACATATCAGTCACAGTCCATTATAGGTTGATTTATTCTATATGTCCCTGCCATTAACTGTTTAAATTGGCACTGATTAACAACTGCCTTAATTTATAATAGTACATAAAGCAAAAATATGTTCTATTTCAGAATTTGAAAGAAGTTGAAGTCAGACATACTTTGAGCTCACAGTAATCCACCATCACTACAACAGCTGACTCTGTCACAACGTCCATAACTTTTTCAGCCCTCATCTGCCTCTGTTCTGTCTGAGAACATCTTGCACGAGTCGTGTGAAGTACCCAAGGATCTGGAATGACACAAATTTTCTCTGTCAAGTTTTCTGTTGATCTGGAATACAGTGTCCATAAAGCATCCTGTATTGGGATACAAGCTCCCTCTACAAATACAGACACAGCACTGTTACAGTTCCTTCACTGAGCAATGCTTGGCTTCTATCTTCTTTGCAGCTAAAGTTAGTCCTCTGCCAAAATGAGAAACTCAGAGCAAAAAGAGCACTAGAGAATACAGAAGGATAAAAGAAGGAAAAGAAACAGTCATGTTGCCATTACAACACTTCATGCTACTCCAAAAAGAATCCAAGTCAGGAAACATCTTACATTGCAAACATCAGGACCTGAATCTCCTACTCCACATGCTACTCTGGATCTGCACAGCTTGAAATACAGTTTTTTAATCTTATGCTGCTCATTATTGGAAAGTTCCTTATACAACAAAAGAACGTCAACAAATACCTGCTTTTCAGGTAACATTAGAAAGACAGATCTTAAGGAAAAAAAAAAGCAACTACAGAAAAACTTGAGCTTGGCTTACGTAATTACATGGGCAACATTACTACTGAAGAAACTGCTGATTCTCAAGAGATGTAACACAAATAATAGAACGAATTCAAAGGCTAATAATAAATAATATAATCCTCCTTAGATGGAATATGGAGCTAAATGTTCTGTCGGACATTTCACTTACCATTTGCCTCTGGCTTTCCAGAGGTGTCCGGTTTTTGGACAACAGAAACATCACTTTCCCTTCTCAGGTCTGAGTGTCCAGGCAGCCCGACACTCTCCTTTTCACCAGCAGATGTACCCATATCAAAAAGCCCGCCCTCTCTCTCCTTTTCTGATCCAGCTTTATTTTCATTGCTATTTGTCTGCCGTTCCTGAAGAACAGTTTCACTTTCTTCCCAAGTAGAAGCCTGTAAGGATTCGAATTCAGTCTGATCCATGTTAGAAATATAGCTTGCCAGAAAATCTTCCCCATCGCTCTCATTTGGGTCATCTTTGGGAATTGTATTCTCTTTATTGAATTGAAAACACCTTTTTCTCTTTGCAATGGAAAAAGAGGATTTGGTTTTTCTGCGTTTTCTTTTTGACACATCTACAAAGAAACAGTGGAAAAAGTAAACCGAAAGATTACCAAAAGAATTCTTTCAAAATCCATCATCTTCATTTTACTTGACTTACAAGGAAAACAATCAAAGGAAATGAAGCACGCTCTCCCTACATTCAGAAAAAAGTTAAACTTAATGGGGTTGGTTCAATATTAAAGATTGAAAAGTCAACTGCTTAATTTCATTCACAAAATAATCATCTTCAAGATCTTATAGGCAGATAGTTCTTCCATTCGATAGGAATTATTTCTATAAAGCAAGGTAAGACATTTACTATCTTACAACATGAATAACATAGATGAACAGCCACACAGCCTTTAAACCTGCTATCAAGCTCTAGTCTTTGAAAGCTAAATACATACTAAGAAGAGTTTAATTAAAGAGACAGCTTTAAGACAACATTCAAAGGAGAAAAAAATAGTCAGTAAAGACTCACACATCATATGCTTTCTGATTCTGTTAACCTTGTTAAAAACAAACTTTGTGGTTTTGCCCAACAGAAAAGCCCACTGTGCTTTGTATTTATGTAGGATTGCACAAAGTGCGAGTGAAGTCGGTGGCAAGATTCCCACTCACTCATGAGACCAGGAATCTTTACAACATGTCATGTGTTTCAATGGAAAGAAGCCAAAGTTTCTTCATGCCCTACTCAAAGGAGCAGGAAGAAATGATGATTGTTCCCTTTCCATCTCTATTTTTATAGCTCCTCACTTTTTCTTCACTTTCACCCTTCATTTGGAAATAACAGTAAAGGAGTAGCAAATATTTCAGCATTCTGGGGACAGAAGGGAGGAGAGGAGAAAAATGCTCTTTCGTATAATTGAAAACTAGTTGAGTATTCAGAAACCATGATACCAAGAATTAGCCATCTGGGAGCCATTCAACATCAGTTAAGTCATCAAGACCAGTGTTTTATACTGGTAAGCCAACTTTTTATTTGAACTTTAATTCATAACCATACTGAATGGATGACCTCTGTATTTATCTCACATTTTGAAGTAACTCAAAAACAAAACCAGAGGCATGACAGGTTTCTCTGATGCCTGGCTCTTCATGTCACAATAACACAGGGGTTACATTGATTACACTGATATCAATGACGCTGGCAAGTTCACCCAGAAAGTCTGAATAAATTGCAACTTGCCACTGGAGAGGGGTGTACTGGCTCCTACAGGTGTCACTGTCATCTTTGTTTTTTCACTGCACTTTGCATCTGTTTTCTTACATCCAGGAGCAGAGTTTTCCTTTGGCATCACTGTATAGAAATCTGGAGCATACTTTGAAGAGCTGCAACCTTGCGATAAAGAACAGAAAGCAAAGAAGTTTGTCTTGCATTTTTAGTTACAATTACAGAGACAAGACTTACAATCTTGAGCCTTAAAACACATACCTCGTTTCTTACGAGATTCTTTAATTTCTTCACAAAGTTGTTCAAAATCTTCATCTATTTCTTCCTTCACAATGGAATATGCAGTGTCTTTCAAACTACAAGCTCTGTGCCTAATGAGGCGATCTGAAATTGTACAGGCAGGACTTAGTATTTTCTACCAGGCAGTGAAACTCTTCTGAACAAGAGAAAAATGTTGCTCTGCGTTGGTAGTTTCTGAAAGGATATCTCAGGGAATATTTTTAGCATAACAACATGGAAGTTAATTTTCAGAGCAAAATCACTAGTTGATTAATATTTACATTAACACTTACATCCCACATCCAAGTAGTTTAGTGCTACAAGATTTACAATCTGACAAGCAATGCTGTCCATGGATGTTAAAAAGGACCTGATGCAAGGTCTATTGCCCACACACCCCATTTATCCATCTATGCATTTTACAAGGATCAGAAGTGCTAACTCACCTCCAGGGTCTTTATCTGGGTTGTATTCTAAAGCATTACTACAGATGAGATCAATATCTTTCAGAAAATCTCCCGCAGTTAGGTATTGGTGCAAGTCAATCTTAGATAAAACTGTTGAAAGATCCATTGGATGTTTAATAACTGTGTCATAGTCAGGCACCTACAAATGAAACAGAAGTTTTCAGAGGGTTTATTGGACTCGCACATCATCTACCAAAATTCTTTATTTTAAGAACTTTAACTAAGTGACTTCTTAAAAGCCCTGAATATCTGTGACATCAGGAGATACTGAAATTAACTAGTAAACTGCTGGAAAATGGAAGGGCTCCTTATAACTTGTTAGAAAGGGAATAAAGAAAAAGAAACATGGAGGTGAGAAGCACATAATAGTACAAAGCAGACAGCCAAGGTCAATTCATTTCACCTTGCCTCAGAAAAATCACAACAAAGAAATCCGAGGAAGTCACCCAACATTCTCTTTGTTGTTGGCAGTGAGAAAAAGGCTGCATGAATTGCGCCTTTGAAATGTCAATGCTGGGCATCTACTATGAAATAACTGGACCCAGAGGTGCAGATTGTTTTACTCAGACTGTAAGAGTAGCCCAATGACTAGTTGAGATGAGGACATATATATTTGTTTAGATTATTCACACCTCAGGAACCTAGGGGAAAAGGAAAAGACAAGTCAGCAGATGCCTAAGGGAACAGGACTTTGCTGGTACACAGCTATATAAAAACTACAGCTGACTTGTAATGATACACCCCTGGTTTAGACTTATTCAGTCATTAATGGAGAAAAGGGGACCTCAGAAGTATATAGGAGAAAGAAGAAACCACACAACACTTACAGATGATCTCATACTGAGTATTCCCCGATGAAACAGAGAATAGAATCTCAAAATTATTTTACAAACTGCTGTTTCTACTCCTGTTCCCACAGAAATAACGGGCAGTCCACAAAAGTGCTCCAGGCCTTATTAAAATACTCCTATAAATGATATTTGTGACTATAAAGAAAGATGGCTCTATGTTTTCCAGTGCTTCAGGGTGCCTTATCAAAAGTCTTTTCAAGAGCAAACTGTGTTGGCTTTTGGTCTGATGTTTTAGAACAAAAACAGAGCTCTGACTGAATATTCAAACAACAGACAGCTAAGAGCCTCATGGAAACAGCACAAGTAAAAGCCCTTCTTGCTTCTCACAATATCACTAAGAGTACAGTCCTAAAAACAAAGAGAAACCTTCCTATACAGAGCTCACAAACACTGAGAAACTATACGCACAGACAGATGAAATGGCATTATAGATCAACATCACTTTACCTCCTCCGGGTCAACAGGCTTTGTAAAGGCCCTGAAACGTTTGTCAATGGCAAGTCTGTGAGTAACATCCCTCAAGAAAATTCGAAGTTCACGCAGGGTATCTTCCTCCTGCTCCTCCAGACACTTCATTTCTTCCTCTGTCAGAGGTCGAGGTTCAGGTGGTGGTGCTACAGGCAATGCTTCCAATGTCTGGCCAGCTTCAATTAATCGGAAAATTTTAGTCAATGTCAGGTACTCAAATACAGGCACATACAAAAAGTACTGATAGAAAACCGCCACCCAAGCAAATACTGAACAGCTAGTAACTTGCAGTTAGGAAAGTTTTAGATGTAGAATATCCTCACCTGCTTTCCTTTTAGAAGTGGGAGGTTTAGCAGCTTGATTCAAGATCAAGTCCTCAAAAAAATGTCTTCTTTCGTCCTCATCCGGAGATTGGATATTGAAAACTTCTCCAAAGTCATTCTTAAACAATGTTTGTACCTAAAGCACGAAGAGAAAACTGTATGATACACTGGTAATGTTGTGACATTCACTACAACTAAGACCACTCACTTTGTACTGACTTCCCTTGCTGCCCTTTAATTTTAACCTGCATAGTAGCTAGAGAAGGAAGAGAAAGGGTTCAGATAAGTAGACAAGAGAGAGCTTTCTATTAAGTTTTTATTTCTATATTTAAATCAGGTCTCAATTTGCATGCTTCTAAGGTGCAGTCCATTTTTCCATCGCTACTATCAAGAGATTGGGAAAGAATTTCAATATTATCTTAGAAGGAATTTATTTACCAGTATAAAAACTTTTGTGAAAACTTAAGCACTTCCAAAGCATTTCATAACGAACACACCCAGGTAATACCATCTTCCCCTTTGAGCACTGAGACAAAGTAATCAGAGTGAAAACAGCACATTTCCATTCTGAACACTTTAATGCAGACCCTTAGAAGCCTACAAAGTTACGCATGTATGCTTATTGAAGTTTATTTAGAAATACAACAAAAGTTTGATTTCAAAGTTACTTAGAAAGAAGCTGAAACTCAGCTTCCAATTTGTAAAGCCTTGAATCTTTAGCCTTTACAAAGAAAGGGATGGATTTTTTTTCTAGAAGTGTTTCAATCTTTATTTATTCTAAATTAAATTTCATTACTAGCATTTTATCCACCCTACTATGCAATGGCAGAATATCAGAAGAAATGTTTTCACTAAAAATATCTTCTTGCTACCTCCATTGTAAGGACTGCACAATCTGGACAAAGTAGATACCTAACTGCCTTGCAGTCACTCAAATTATTGTCTGAAGTAAATTTACCTTACGTGTTTGTGAGAAGGAGAGGAAATGTTGGGTCAAAGTTGGTCACTTGACTCAGAAAACACTTAAGGCAAATACTTTCAGCATTTTTATTCTAAGCAAATTTGAAGGGATTTGTTAGGGACCCTAAGTCATGACAGTATGCATTTTCAGAAAGCACAGTACTCCAATGCCTCAAGTATTCCTAAAACAACAAGAAACTGAATGAAGAGTTAAGAGAAGCATTGACAGAAATACCTCATCCGGGAGATCTGTGTGACACACATCTGATGTTGCAAGCAGCAAGACTGGAGCAAATGTTGGAATGTTCTGAATTAGTGATGTAAAGGTAGCTTTCAGTGTAGCTCCAACACTGTCCCACCACAAATGGATATGTGGGATATAAATTATGCTTGGTGCTGTCCGCTGAGCTTCTCGGATCAACTAGCAAAACAAAAGGTTGGATGAAACAACTCAACCATGTAGAATAGGCTGCTAATCAGTAAGTCTATGTATCCATCAAACTATCCTAGGAAATGCATGTACACAAAGCCAAACCATCAAAACAAACTAACCAAAGAACCGCTAAGAGGGTAAAATTTCTACTTTTGCTCCAATATAGACAATGCTACACACAATCATTGCTACACAGACAGAATCAGGCCTGAATCTGCCCTTTATTCAAAACTGCTGAGATATAAGAGAACTCCAGAAGAGCCTTGCAACTCAAGTGGTGTGGTGGTATGCCTGAAGAACCAAGACTAACCCTTCAGCAAGCTGTTTTAGTCTAGCCAAATTCCTACATGATTGTGGCTGCACACTTTCAATTCAGAGTAGGCACGTATCCAAGTCAGTCTGCAGCACAGTCTGAAGAAACAAAGGCTTAGGTGAAAAGATGAGGGCTGACACTGCAAAAGAATCCTGGTTTTAATTCATATTTTCTGGTACATTTTTATGAGGCAACCAGTCTTCAGCCTGAACAAATGGTTCTGTAACTCAGTTTCTCCTTAGCAAAGGATTCATCAGATCAGATAACAAGCTCAGGAAGTCCAACAAGCCACTGCCTACATAAGGCACATCACACAAGACACGCATCTACCACATGGCAAGCATCTTTCCACTCAACACATTTCTCTGTGCACTCTTTCATGTTATCAACATTCAGCTGCAAGATGGGAAGTGTATATTCAGGCAGGGACTTGATACTATATGGTTCTATGGCCACAGATACAGCCATCACATAACAAAAAGGGAAACGTGTGACAAAGGAGTAACCAGTCATGTATCATGTCTGTCCTTACTTGTATTGCTCTCAAATGCTTCTAATAAAGAAGAAAATGTTTTAATGCAGTGACTCCCAACAACAGGTTTTTTGCCTGAAAGCAAAACGGCTCTAGATCTGTTTGTTTCTTCTAGTTAAGAAAAACCTCACCACTGTACAAATGCAAGTGTTGTGATTTTTAATGCATTTATTGCATGTGCTGCAGCAGCACAAAACGTATAAGATGCACGTGTAACAAACATAGAAAACTATCAACAATAAACCCAAGCACTTCCTTGAAACATTGGTTGCCTTACAAATATAACAACAAAAAAGGATACAGAACTGCAGAATATGCAGTCTGATGCAGAGCCATCTACTGGCAGCACAATCTTAGAAGGTAATGAAAATTACTTTCTGAATCCTATTGAGATGAACAGGATTTCCTGCCACAGAGAGAGGCTTATTAGCAGCATCTTTCAGGTTCCTAAATTGCATCCTTACTGTTAAATCTGCAATGGAACAATTTTTCCATTGTGCACTCTTTCATGGTGGAACAATATCCATATTGTTTAGGACTAGATAAAAAAGGTGATTTTCCAGACATGAACAGAACAATAAGGCCATTGCCACTAGCAATGAATTTTGCTCATCTTGCAACTCAATTGACTGTTTACATTTAATCAATGAGATTGTGACATTAAAGAGTGAAAAAAAACAAGAAGATACCTGTGCACATGTCTCTTCAGGCGATGAGATGCTAACAAATAAAACTGACATGTCCAGAGTATGAACTGGAAACATTTCCAGAGCATGCAAAACAGCAGGTGCCAAGTGGGATGCCTGGCCATATCCTGCCTTTCCTACTAATAGCAGGTGTGGCCTGCAGGATGTAGGCTGCCAGTAAGCTTTCCTAGAACAAGAATCATAAAAAAAAGTGATAAACAGACACACAGATATTCAAAGTATTTCTTTTCTATGTATGCATATATTTACAATACTCTTCATATTCCAGTTAAGTTCTGTGATCAGGAAGTCTATCAAAACCCATGTTCTTACAAACTGATTGCATACTGCCCCCTAAAAAATCCTGCCAATTCCTGTCATGTCTGCTACTCATCTGGCTCTTTTAATTAATGGCTTCTAAATTGTACATGGAGACTGTCCAGCTAAATACACACAGGACAACTGGCTAGTTACCTGAGATGAAGTACAGCAACTTCCAGCACACACAAATCTGGATGTCACTGTCATCCAGACACTACCCTTCAGTAGGGCTCACGTTCAAGTTAAAACTGAGTTTTAACTACATCTGTCAAATTTAGCTGACACGGCCATTATTACTGGAGAAGGTAGGAAGAAAGGAGCATAGCATTGCTGTTAGAAAAGCATGGGTGTGGGCACTGAAATACACTGGCCATATCTAAAGAAGCACAGAGTGGGACTGCTTGAATTACAGCAGTATATTACATACAAATAAGGTATTTACTTATAGGGCAGAAAATTTTCTGAACAGCGCAGCAATAGAATTGAGGAAAAAAAAGTTTGACTTGGCTGCAATAACATAATCTAACTTCTGAGCCGTAGGCTTGACTTCCATGTGAGAATATCAGAAGATTAACAGAAGTTAGTGGCTGAATGGTAACAAAAACAGTCTGAATTCCTGCTACGTGACTTGCTACTGGTTTAACAATCCTGGAAAACAGATGGGCAAAAGATGGCTACACAAATCCATATAGGCTTCTTAAGCTGAGAGGATAGCAGAGCTCTGTGGTTTCGAGTATTTTGAAGAACGTCATGGAGTAAATCAACATGTTCTAATAGCCTGAGGATCACTTGGCTTAGGTAAAGAAAGCTGAGTTTTTCAGTCTTGAATTTGATCGGTTCTAGCAATGCACTTCATTAGGAATTCAGTACCTTCATGCTTACTTCTTACAAATACCTTTTACCACCTGAACACACACATTTTATTCTATTTCAACATCTACCACCCCTCACATCTGTAACAGCCAAAGCTGTTTAAAAAGCAAAATTTAAATGTAATTGGAGCAGGCATTTACCTACTAAAATTGAGGAATTTTTCCTGCGGTCTGCAAATCATTTTATCTGTTACATTCTCTTCAAAGATTGAGGGTGATTCATAGTTTCCATCAATTGTATCACCTTTTAAGATAGAATTTAAACTGCCTGAAAGACAAAAGAGGTTTGTTATTTTTTCCTAAACAGTCTGTACCTCTTTCTCTTCAGCTTCAAGCACTTCAGCTTCAAAATCAATGTCAAAACCCCTTCTTCATTTCAGGTCACATGCTGACTGCTATTTCCTAGAGATCATCCTACTACAGATCTATGGAGGCTGCACATCTCTGCAGTGCTGCTCCCTTAAGTTCCACAATGTGTATAAGGTATGTTTCTCAGTTGTTCATTCTTTTCCCCATAGAATAAATATAATTAGGAACAATTTATGTCGTTCTTAAATAGCTAAAAAAAACAAGGCCATTACTTCCTGGAGCAGGCTCCCACAGTACAAGCATGGAGATTAAGGATGTTGTGGTCACAGACTCCCTGGTCTAGGACTACTAAATCATGACAGTGACAAACCCATCTTCTAATTAAGGATCCTTAAAGATAACTGAAGGAGAAGATAATGGAAGGAAGGCAACAGAATGGCAGGACAATTACCAACCCCCTATCCTTTCTGCTTCTATTTTACCAAAGCAAATGAAACTACCAGCTCTGCTGAGAGTAACACTAGTAGAATATTCTCCAGAAATCAGCATGTAACTCTAAAGGGATCTCCATTAACCAGGACTGGAACGATCCTTACACTTCAATACTTACATCTGTTTCTACAAATGCTAAATATGTTAGCAACTGTCAGAAACAGGATGCTTTAGGAGAGGACTATGCATTCTTTGCTATGTATCGAGCCCTTCAGTACTTCCATCTCACATTTCACTTTAGAATCCAGAATAAATGCTATGCATTATATTCCAGTTATTCCCATAATGCACATACAAATAATAAAATTCTATCATTGTTACGTCTGATGTGTTTGTGTGCACTGACTGCACGAATCAGAAGCTTTTGCTTTGGCAAAATCTTAATGAAGTGGATCCTCTTGTTATACCTTGCTGCTGGTCCTTCTTCAGTGCAAGCTCTGCATGAGGAAATACCCTTTGTAGGGCTTGTAAAATTCTCAAGAGTGTATTTCCTAGAAGTGGCTTCATAATAGGTGACAGTGCTTGGCCCGGTGAAGGCACAGCCCTCTGTGATGCTGGAACAGTTTTCTGCATAGCCATCACAAAATCTTTTGCTTTTATTTTAATAGAATTGACATCTAGTTGCAATTTCTCACTACTCGAGTAGATCTGAGGATATCGCCGGCGGAGGGCACAGAGAGCAGCCTCAGCACACAAAGACTTTATATCAGCTCCGCAGTACCCTAAATAAACAAAGAATTAAGTGTTACATCAGTCTTGGGCAAAACATGAGTCAAGGTCCAGGTTTTCAAGGTGCAACATTTATAGAGTTCACAGTCCCAAAAACAAGTGGCTTTACAGAGAATTTAAGGTTCTTCCCTACTGCACGGTAGGAAAGTTTTGTTCTGTGGCTGACTGCCTGATTTCCAAGGCATATGAAACAGTTTCCTAATCACAACTTTGTTCTGGGGCAAGATGCCCCAAACCCATTCAATGTTCTGAAACAACAATGACAACAACAAAAGGGATGCAGATGAAAGCAGCTAATTTTGAGTGTTGTGAAGGCACGTCAGCTGCCTAATGGACTGGTTCTGCAGCAAAGCACAACAGCTTGGGTACTGCTGGGTAAAAGCTAAGATTCCTTAGAACTTAGTCACAATCACTAACACATTTTGCTTTCAGTCTTACCAACACATTCTGTAGCGAGCTCATCTATAAATGTGTCCAACAGCTTAGGAGTCCAGTCACGGGTATGAATCTTGAAAATTTCTTTTCTGGCCTGGAAAAAAAATTGTTGCATTTCATTTTTGTTTGCATTTCATATTTTTTCCTAAAACCAGCAACAACAAAACAAACAACACCCCCTCAAAAACTTCATAATACTACAAATAGTTTGCTTATCTGCTAAACATTCGGTGCAGTTGACATGATAGAGGGAAGGGATGCCATCCACAGGGACCTGACTGGCTTAAAAGGTGGGCCCATGTCAACCTCATGAAGTTCAACAAGGCCAAGCACAAGGTCCTGCACCTGGTTTAGGGCAGTCCCAAGCACAAATACAGGCTGGGTGGAGAATAGCTTGAGAGAAGAGAAGGGCTTGGGAGTGTTTGTTGATGAAAGATTCAACACGAGCTTGCAATGTGCACTTGCAGCTCAGAAAGCCATTCGTATACTGGGATGCATCAAGAGAAGTGCAACCAGCAGGTGACTCTGCACCTCTGCTCTGCTCTTGTGAGACCCCACCTGGAGTACTGCATCCAGTTCTGGGGCCCTCAACACAAGAAGGACACTGAGCTGTTGGAGCAGGTCCAGAGGGCCACAAAGATGATCAGAGGGCTGAAGCATCTCCAGGACAGGCTGAGAGAACTGAGGCTTTTCAGCGTAGAGAAGGCTCCAAGGAGACCTCAGAGTACCTGAAGAAGGCCCACAGGAAAGCTGGGGAGGGACTTTTTATAAGGAGAAGTAGTGACATAACAAGGGGAAATAGGTTTAAACTGGAAGAGCATAGATTTTACTAGATATTAGGAAGGAATTCTTCACTGTGAGGGTGGTGAGACACTGGAACAGGTTGCCCAGTGATGTTGCAGATGCTCCCTCCCTGGAGATGTTTAATGCAAGGCTGGATAGGGTTTTGAGCAGTCTGGTTTAGAGGGAGGTGTCCCTGCCTATAGCAAGGGGATTAGAAGTAGGTGATCTTTAGATCCCCCCCAACCCAAACTATTCTATAATTTTATAGTTAATTTAATATGTTCATTTTCAAGCAGGAAATCTAATAATTCTAAATTTGTTTTGTTTATCTTTTTCTGAGAACCTGCAGTTAAAGAAAGGGCAATTCTAGCTTACATAAAAAAGTTTCCAAAATGTGTCACCTAATGATCTTCAGCAAAAAAGTGTAGAAAAGAAAAAACTATCATGAAAACCATTTTTTTTCCCCCCTCCAAGAAATTTCTCTTAAATTTGGGAAACTTCATGGTGACAGTCCCATTAGTTCACTGAACTTGCTTTTCTGTCAGTTCATTCAAGTAAAGTAGTTCTAGTACTACTCTTCAAGCTGCTGCAATTTCTATAAAAAAAATAATTATGACTCAAACTATACATCAGTTTTATCCTTGGTTAATCACTGCCACTGAACTAGAAGCTTCCCAAGCCCTTCCCTTCTGCAGTGCACTTCACGTCTTCATCCAAGCCTCTGTTAATATGAAGCAGTAAGAATGTCTGCTCCCCCTCTCTGAATTAAGGCAACTCCCAGGACCTCCAGATTGAGAACAGTCAAATGAAGTATGCCTCCATCCACTCATAAGTGAATTACTGAGACCAAAAGCAGAATTTCAAGGTGAAAATGCCCAAGCAGATTAAGTAATTAAGCAAATAAGAACAACTTTGGGAACGATCCAAGTATGTTCCATCACTAGTCACAATAAAAGTTTTTATGCAAGCAAAAAGTAATTATTGAGGACGTACACCACTTCCTTCACCTTCAAGAAGGGAGAACAGAAGTTTAAAGCCAATTCACATTTTCATTCCTTCTTAAAACATGCCAGTGACAAGCAACATCCTGTTTTTCTTAACTAGTCACATTGAAACCAAAATTAATATAGAGTGAATTACTTGAAGTCATCATCATATATATTCAGTAGCAGATTTGCTCTGAGCAGTATGAAAGCGTCTCCAGATATCCGTCTTCCAATCTGGACAGCTTTTTGCTCTAAAATTGGACTTTGTCACATTAGCATTAAGGTTGTATTTACTTTCTGACCTCTTTATTTGGGAGGCCAAAGAGGAATTCTCGGTCAAAGCGTCCAGGTCTTCGTAATGCAGGATCAATGGAATCGAGTCGGTTGGTCGCACCAATTACAACCACCTCTCCTCTGCTGTCTAACCCATCCATGAGTGCCAGAAGCGTTGATACGATGGAGCTAATAGAAAAGATACAATTTTTATTCACTGGTTCAGTAAATTTTGTTACAATCCACATGGCTTAGTATTGTGTTCAGCTTTGGGCACCTCAATACAGAAAGGACATGGAGGTGCTGAAACAGGTCTAAAGAAAGCCAACAAAGCTTGTGAAGAACATGGAGTTCTCCAAAGTTGGAGAATATGGCCAATGAGAAACAAGTTAAAGAAACTGAGGCCATTTAGTCTGGGGAAGAGGAGGTTGAGGGGAGAACCTTATTGCTCTTCTCAAATATCTGAAAGGTGATTGCAGCGAGAGTGGGGTTGGTCTCTTCTCACTGGTGGCAGGACCAGGGGAAATGGCCTCAAGTTGTGCCAGGGGATGTTTAGGTTGGATATCTTTACTGAAGGGGTTGTTAAGCACTGGCTCCCCAGGGAGGTGGTTGAGTCACCATCCCTGGATGTGTTTAAAAACCATTTGGATGTGGTGCTCAGGGACGTGATTCTGCAGTGGGTTGTTAGAGTTAGGGTAGTATGTTTAGGTTGAGATTGAACTTGATGATCTTGAAGGTCTTCTCCCACCTGAGCAGTTCTTTGATTCTATTACTTTCTCCAGTGAGTACTCAAAAAAGGACACATTTCTGTTGATGAGATGCTCATCAGCAACTCATTTTAAGACAGACAGAAATAGGTAAGGTATCACAGACTTTGTGCTAGTATTCAGCAAGTAAATTGTTTTCAACTGTTGTCTCAAATAATCTCAATTTTAGGAGCACTGAGTTACAAGTTTTCAGGATAAATTAATGAGTAATATGAAGTGGTCATCATCTCCCCTCTCACTCCCAGCAGATTCTATGTAGACACAGAAAACATAGTACCTATGAATCTGATCTTGCTTACTGGACCGGACAGGAGCAAGACCATCAATCTCATCAAAGAAAATAATTGAAGGCCTCATCTGATATGCCTAGAGTGAAAAACAGTAATATTGTAAAAGTAAAACAGCACTACTTAAAGAGAAAATACATGAAAGACATTATGGTTGGCATGTCACTGAAACTAGATTTTTTAGAGTAACATCAGGGATCTCTACTTACTGACTTGGAGTATCTGACATAAGTAACAGAAAGCATCAGTCTACATCAACCTACTGTGACCAGGTAACGGGAAACAAATCATACCAGTAGTTGTTACAGCTATTTGGCAGCCATAAAGAACAGTCAGAACTTAATTCAATTACAGGTTATGGAAGCAAGCCTCCTCTATGAATTTAAATAACCCTGCTTTCAGACAGCATCTGTTTCCCTCTGATCTAACGCCATCATCTCTTGCCTCCTGCAGCCTTCTCTGTGGCTGTTCTGGTGTGAGGAAATTTTTTTGCTTTGAAAGCTTTTCTCATTTTGATCTTTCCCCATTTCAAGCCCCTGATCCAAATTATTGAGGCAGTGAAAAAGCAAACACTGACATTCCCATTTCAGTGGGAAAAAAAACCACCACCAACCCTAATAAAGTACCCCCCAAAAGAGGATGCTCTTAATAATGAGAATCACAGAAAATTAGTTTCAACCAGGAATAGAATATACTGCATATTTCAATCTTACCTGATCAAATAACAAACGAAGTTGCCTTTCGGATTCTCCTACCCATTTACTCAGGCAGTCTGCACCTTTTCTCATAAAAAAAGCCACTCTCCTGTTCCCTTGGCTACATTCATTAGCAAGGGCACGTGCAACCAGGGTCTTCCCAGTTCCTGGTGGACCATAGAATAGACATCCTCTGCAATAAAAAACGATTCAGATAGGAAAAAAAACCAAACATTGTGAAGAGAAGCTATTACAACCATCATCCCTAGAACAAACAATTCCTCTCTACCTAACCAAAACATTTCATGTATAAGACAACACAAATAGCTGAAGTTGGGTTAAGGTCCTAGCAGGTTGAAGTTTTGTGTTCTGACAAAACTTCCCAAGGCAGCAAAATAAATGAGTAATGCAGATACCTCAGATGTACACCTCCAGAAGAGCATGTACTGTCCCAAAAGGACATTTCCAAAACTGCTAGCAGACAAACAGGTTATTAGAGCAAACTGAGATCAAACAAGCAACTTCTGCCCAGAATGAGTTACCAGATGAATCACCAGTTCATTCTTTAGCAATACGCTGCATACTCTCGCTTTCACACAAGCATGGATTTGATAGCAAGACTTGTTAGTAAAGCACTTAATTCTCTCTTAAAAAGCTTTAAGTTACAGGATTTAGCCTCCCAGACTATCTGTTGCTGGTGAAAAATGAGGAAGTCTAACACTGAATAGAAAGTTTAAGAACATAAACAAAAAGATATTCTGCATTTCAGATAAACATAACCATCAGCTAAGAAAGCACTAAACATGCTGCTGTTTAAATAAGAATTTCAGTGAATAAAGAAGTAAGGCTCTGGAAGGTTTTCTTTTCATTATTTGTTATACTTCTAAAGTTACTGAAAGGAAATAATCTAAACTTATGCGTCCATATACCATGATTGAGTTTTGATTACTAAGAATATAAGGATAATCAATAAATCTAATAATTCAATTTCATAATTGACAAGATTAGCTACGTAAGAAACAGCCAGCTTCTTACTGTATCCCAAGCACGACAAACACCACAACATTCTTGCTGTGAGTAACAAGCATTACAAGTGATACCTGAGGACTTCATAAAAGGTGAGAAGGAGAAGCGGGCTTCCAAGAAACAAATCACAAATGACTTCCATTAGATGATCTCCTCCTCCTTACAAACTTATCAAGCTGACTTGTACAAAAACCCCAACCCAACTTCATAACACCAAGACACTTTTGAAATACATTCCCATTTCCAACCAGCAGACAAGAAATCTTTATGCATGACAAGGCACTGCTTATGTTTGGAAGCTATATATATGCACACTCTGGACTCCATCCATTTTAAATAATTATTTTTTACTACTACTAAAACAACCCCTCACTGTTGCCAAGAAGCAAGGAAACATATTGATAACTCGGCTGAATATTCTCCTGAAAATAGCTGACTTACAATGCATGGTTTCTATCAGTTACCTTGGAGGCTGAATTTTGAATCTCTCAAACACCTCTGGATAAAGCAGGGGAAAAATGACCATTTCTTTTAAAGCTGAAATGTGGTCTGAAAGACCACCCACGGCATCAAATCGCACCTGAAGATCAATTCAACAGAACACACATTGTTAAAGAAGTTAGAAATTTGGATGAAGGTGTCACCAAAAATTATACATCAGCAAAAAGGAAGCGCTCTGGGCTATTTCTGAAGTTGCTTGACAGAAAAACATCAAACGTAGTTGTAGATGGCCCATTACTGAAAGCCTTCACAAACACTGATGCAGCGAATTAAAACCACTTACCGAACTATCAATTTGCATTGGATCAACATCAGCCAGGCTTTTTCCAGTTTTCATTCGATCCTTGCGAACTCCCTTCAGCTCATCCTCCTGAAAGTTTACTGGAAGACACCTGATTTCAATTAAGGAGAAAGAAAAAGCTGCCTTATTTCAGATGCAGCTAGAATATTTGTTTTTATGACAACAAGTGAACATAGAAGATTTTATTAATTAACATAAGCTTCTTAAAGAGTTAATATTCATTTGAAGTCAGATACTTGTTAACATCCATAAAGAATAGAAAACTGTCACTCCAGACATTCATCTGAGACAATGGGTTTTTTGTTTTCTGCTTTTTTTGTTTTTGTTTTTTTAAGCACATATGAGTATCCATGCCAGCCAACATGGCACAAATCTGACTACAACTTTAGAACAAGCAAATCCACATACAGAAACAATGAACACATCTTCATTTTTGTGATGAAAGAACCCCCCCAAAATACACTAGCTGCTTTCAGAGATTTTTTGCTTCTATGTTCAAAAAAAAAAAAAAAAAAAAAACTTACACCCCAAGGGGACAAATTTCATTATGAAAGGCCTCCCACCACTGGTCATTCCCATGTAGCTTGCATATCAGAAAGCATACCAGTCTGAAAGACAATTGGCTGAAGACTTTTTTTTTTTCCGTGTGCATTTATTAAAATAGTTTTAATAAGAAACTAATGAAACCTTTGCTATTTCCTAGGTTTATCAAATTGTCAGACACGGTGGCTTTCTCTCTGGACAAGCTACTTAAAATTGCAGAAGTATGATGTTACTTAGAAAAAAAAAAAAAGAAGTGTTCCTCCTCCCATTCTCTCTTTACAATCAAACTGCTTATAAGTAATTAATTTCTAAAAATTCCAGTTTAAAATGTTTGGTTCCAATCAACAGGTGTGATTAAATATGATCTCAACTTAGTAACTATACAAGACTAAAGAGGATAACTCTCCACAGTTAGGGAGATGCTATTTGCTCAAATACATTCATCCCTCCCATGTTCTCTAAATACAGTAACCTTCTTATTGTCCTGTTACGGCTGTGCATCCGACGCCTTTCAACGCTCTCTTCCTCATCAGATGAGGATGACAAGGAAGGGGATGATGAGGAAGACGATGTGGAATTAGCATTGTGGGCTGCACGTCTCAGTCTGCAAGCATTTAAACAAAAAGGTTAAAAAAAAATAAAATTCTCTCAATATTTGACATTACTTGTTGTCTACTCTATCTCAGAACTCACTCTCCAGGATCTATCAACTTTCCAGTTCAGTGTGCTCTTTATTAATCTGATATCAAAAGCATATTACATTATTGTCCTCAGAACAGCAAAATTAACTTTTTTTCCCCCTTGGGAAAGTAAAATGTTTTTATTTTACAAAGAAAGTTCATGAACAAATTGCTCACACAAACCTGACACACACACATTTAGCTCTGATTATCCTCTCTGTGAAACATAACCCCTTTTCACTGATGTAAGTTAAGGTTCAAAGAACTCTTCCTTCCCTGACCATCTATTTTCAGGAGTGCTGAACAAAACATTCCTAATGTGCCTATCAACAGCATTCTCTGTGCTTTAACTGCTTACAGAACCTAAGAAGCCTTCATCATTACTATGGTAATTTATCATTTAATGAAGAATTTTTCTTGTTGAAGGTTAGCTTCATACAGAAACATTAAGTGATTTCAACAAGAAACTAGAACCAGTAGTTGAGTGGTTAAGAAAATCTTTCATGAAGCCTTCTCTTCTAAGTCTAATGAACTTATCTTCAACTTAATAATTTCAAACTAATAATCTTCAACAAAAAAATTTCAGGATTAAATACTCTGACTAAGATTTTAGAGGAACATTCTGGCTTCAATTTCAAAACAAAAGAATTTCAATTACACAATCTCAGGCACAGTCTCTATAACCATCACATCAGTGACCCACAAATACTGGATTTTTAAAAATCCAGGAAGTACCCACCTCCTCCCATCCAAAGATTTGTTTCCTGTATAGGTTTAGATTACCACAGTGATAATCATAAGGTTACCCTGTAACCACCACCAAACTGAAAACCCTTTGAAGTTGATAAAGTAACAGGACTGCAAACACTACAAATAAATGTAAATTATCACTAGCCATGCACCAACCTGTTAGGCCGTTTCCGTGGGCTGGGAAAGAGCATCTTGCGTTGTCTTGGTCCTGTTGAAAACAAAGAAGTTAGAAAAATGAGAGAGTAAAACAGGAAAAGATTCAGAAAATATCATGTGTTTTATCCATTTCTAATTCCAGAGGAAAATTTCAAGTGTTTTTGTTTTGTTTTTCCATCAGTAGATGCACAGTAGAAATGCAAACACATACCTGCCTTTAAGGAGACTTGAAAACCACAGGAGCAAGACTATCAAGCCTGTTTAATTACAGTGAGGATGGTGAGGCACTGAAAAAAGGTTGCCCAGAGTGCACCAGTGGTTGGTGCCCCATCCCTGGAGACTTTCAAGGCGAGGCTGGATCAGGACCTGGGCAACCTGATCTAGCTGTGCATCTCCCTGTTCACTGCAGGAGAGCTGGACAAGATGACATTTAAAAGGTCCCTTCCAACTCTTAAGGATGATTACTATTATTTCAAGGACAAATGGGTCATCTTTGATTTTTAATTCTCTTCTTTATTCCCCTAACTTAAAATCAGAAAGTTCTCAGATGGAAAGAATAGTACATTGAAGAGAAAACTGGTAATATAAATTCTAAATCACATATCAAAGAAGGACCAGGAGCACAACGCAGAAATCCTGAAGTCACACTGTAGCAGTTAGCAAAAGTGCTGAAAATGCAATATAGCAAAGCAAATGAAAAAGATCAGCAAGTAAGCCTTGGCATAGAAATACAATATGCACAGGACACATGCATCTGACAACACCAGAATTTACTTGCAGAATGAAGGTACAGTATTAAATGGAACTACGTGTAACAAGATATCTATTTCACTTCTGTGCAAGAAATAAACTCTTTAAAGAAACCGTGCACATAACCTACTTTCCAAAGGAGCTTGGTAGGGCACAACAGTTTTCCTCTGTCGGAGGTCATAACGCTTTTGATTATCTTCAACATCATCATCTTCTTTACCCTCAATTTCTTCTGATGACGCTAGCGTACCACAGTGTGATATTAAATTATTAGGTATAGTTGCAAATGGTCCTAAAACCAACATGTGCTATGCAGGTGCCTGTAGCTTTTACTGTTACCATCACCTAAATAATACAGCAGACCTGGAAAACCTTAAGACAAATTCATGCAACACACATTTCAGAAATTCCTAATCCAAGCAGACAAGCATACAATATAGACATTGTTCCGTCCTCTCAGAAACTGTTAGCTGACTTGTCATCATACTGTTTAATAACAAAATTCTGTCACCTTGCTCAGCTAAAATGCAGCTCCTATGAAAACAGCTAGTTCAGAAAACCATTACTTGTTATTTTGATCAAGTGTTTCCTGACAAAAAGTTTCAATATTCTACAATGGTAAGAATAAGCAATCTAGCTCTCAAGTTCTAGCTGTGCCCAGGCATCATCCATCTGGAATCCTTCCCCTGGTTTCCTCCCTGCCACTACACATCCCTGAACTTCTCTGAGCTTCTGATAGAAAGTGGCAAAGCTTTTCTTGGGTTCTGTCTCCACCCTTTTTCATTTAGAAAGTTCCCACAAGGATCATTTAACTTAGTGCCCTCATCACAACTTTCCTCTTAAAAACTTCAAGTTTTTCCAGCACTTCCAAGTTAATGTAGTCTTTTGTGACTTAACCTCATTTATCTCATTTCACACTGAGTAACCTCCTTATTACAGGCCCCAAAAGCAGCTTTCATAGACTACCTGCTAAAGACAAAAACTGATAACATCAAGTTCTGCCCAGCTGATCTTTGCACTTGGGAGGAGATTCTCATACGTATCTGGCAGCCTAGTTTATTTCCTGAAAATTCTTTCTATGCTGCTCAAAACCATGGAAATGAGGCTTTTGGCTAGAACATAGTAAAGAAAAATTGAAAACAGAACTAACCTTCAAGCTCCTGTTGATTTTCAGGTTCATCACCTCCTTCAATTTCCTTCTTTTCGCAGGAATACCTATCAAGGTTTTCCTAATGAAAAGGAACAAGAAAGATCAGTCAAAAAGTGCAGAAAATCTGACATACACATGCCTGCTGCCTACACAATAACATTATCAGAGGATTCCATATACACACAGAAATACATTAACACACAGGAGCAGTGAACAGGATCATGATTATGGCATCTACAGTTTGTAAAAGGAATATCTGAACTAAGCTGGGTCGTACTTGCAGAGGTTAAACACTTACCGTGTATTAGTTTATAATCCAACTGCATGGCAAAAATCAAGGAAAAAGAAACACCCTCCTAGCACTGGTAAGAAACAAAACAGAACAAAAAAAAACCACCCAAACAGCTCAGAGGCAGGTGGGAGATGCTGCATCAGGTACTGCAGACATCTCTGTTTGCATTTTGTGTTCCTAGGCAACCTGCGCCTTGAGGAGGGGGATTGGAACTGGTGACCTCCAGAGGTCCTTTCCAAACTCAACCACTCTGTAACTTGGGGGAAATAAAAAGGAATTCAGATCTAAACAAAAAAATCCAAAGGCAAATTTTAAACATCTTAATAGTCTATGTGCCTATAGTTCAAACACATGTAATTTAATAGAGAAAAATTAAGAGTAAATATGGCATATAATTCTGATAGTGTTGAATTTAAAGGGCTTCAAGATCCTGAGAAGAAACACAGGAAACCATACATTGCCTTTTGTTAAATTTGCCAACTATAAGTGTTCTTGAACACAATGACAAAGAACATTAAGGAATGAAGGAAAAATGGTTAAGTTATACAAATGGGATGGAAAGCATAATTCAGGTAATCTTTGTGAATTCAGTCCTCAATCAGAACTTTTAATAAGACTTCGAGTAAAATCTCAAGTCCTGAAACAAGAGTTTGTTTGACTGGATCTTGTTTCAAACGGATTTTTAAGGCCATTCCAAAACCATAAGACAGGTCAGAAACTGTAGTACAAGACATGCATGTTAACAGCTCTGTGTTACCTCACACCTTCTGCAGAAGACATTTCTTCCACTCTTAAAGGATGCCTGTGGTACCATATCAACAGCTCTGATTAGAGAGCAAAAATGCACAATACTGCAGTGCAGAAAATGTGTTATCCTTGACCAGTAATGAATTCTTTGGAAGAAACTTATTTCAGCTAAACTAAAATTACTATTAAATTACTTGCCTATGCAAAAATATTCAACTTATGCAAAAATTATAAAATAAATGAATACTTACTTTAGCATTGTTGAACACCCCAAAATCTTCCAAGCCCTTTTTATGGCGTCTACGCATCTTCTCCATGTCATCCATTTTTTGCAACACTGCTTCTGCAGTACTAAGAAAAAAAGTTAACATGTAAGAGTAGAGATAGGCAAGTACACAGAAAAATTAAAATGGAACACAGCTTCAGTACAACATTTTAGTATGGCACGCAAAATCAGAAGTCATGGACACCAAGCTGAGTTCTTAAACACTAAGAAAGAAATGATATCAAATGTTTATTTTTATTTATTGATTTTACACAGATTGAAGAACAAGCACTTGAGGATTTGCCAACATGCACCGTTTTCACATTTATTTTCCCTCTTGCTGAGCACAATTAAGAAAACGTATATGAATGCAGGAGGAAAGTAAGAATTCTGAAGATCGTAGCATGACCATTATAAAGAAATTATGATAGCATTACAACCATGCAGAGCAGCTTGAGTACAATTAAAAACTACCAGTCATCTTTACTTAACTGACACAAGCTTCCTATTCTTCCTGTAACTGTAATTCACGTTTCCTGTTTTTCCATAATTTTATGTGCTGGAAAAATAATCCCTGCTGCTGTCACATTTTACAAATCTTTTAGACAACAGTGCCAATTTGAGCTCCAGAATGAGAGGAAAGTCACAACTAGAAATGCAGAGTTACTACATTATTTCACATTGGCTGTATGAAATTTTTCTTAGTATCTCACCCAAGAGTTACGTATAAAAGTTCACTAGAAACGAAGACATCTGACACTAAGAAAACTACTGAAAACATTATGTGAAATCTAAGGAAAACTGCAATGTACAGCTACCATTTTGGGTCAGAAAGCAACACAGAAACCCACGGAACCCACATACAAATGGTGCTAAGAGCATGAAGATTCCTCATGCCATACCTCTCTCTGTTGTCAAGAGAAAGACAAAGTCCATAGGCAGTATCATGTCATAGCATGAAAGCTTGCTAATAAGGCTCATTTAGTAGGTTAGCAAGGAAAGAACACTTACTTTGTTATGAGTGCATCAAAGAGAACAGACTGATTTGTAGTAGTATAACGGCTTCGTCGGACCTCCAAATCCCCATCTTCTTCATGGATTTGCTTTGCAGCTTTTGCATCAGCTCTGGTTTTTAGTGTCCTTGTGACTGAAATACAGTAAATACGTGAAATATTTTGAGACAGTAAAGATGTGATTCCCTTTCTTTCACAATTGCTCTTCTAAAATATAAAAACAAACAAACAGAAAACCTGAAGTGGATTTTTTCTTTAAATACAGATTTAGAAGTTTTTGTCACAAGCAGAGCACTCAACTTAGTGCTTGTTTTGAGCATATAGTCTACTTAAAATTATGACCTAAACAAAAACTTTAATAGATTGAAAGCTTCCAATAGAGAAAACTATAAATATTTCTCTAAGGTGTTTTACTCCATCCATCTAAAATGGTATCTAACAGCATTAATTTTTTTTTTTTTTAAAGGCAAGTCTTTTCTTAGGATGCAAGTGTTTTATTGCCCTGTGTAAGTATGGATCATTTTTGTTTTCTACATCATGACACAACAGCTTAAGAACTGATATATAACAATATAAGTAAGAACTATTTCAAGATATATAAATATATATATCCAAGTGCTGGAAAACTCCAGCTCTTGCTTTCTTTAAAAGCCTGCCTAGCATTTAACATAGTCATTCTTTTGCACAAGTTTGTTACTTGCACTGTCACTGAAATACTGACCAGAGGACACTGGGAAGGTAATAGCTACACCATGGTCTTAGTATGACAGCTATGATTTGATCTTAGTTTTATAGTTAGCAATGACAAGTTTGAGACTGCTAAATAACAGACTTCTACAATCAGAACAACAGCATATGAAATGCTCTATTTCAGGCACTTGCCCTGGTTTAGCCTATAGGTAGGACACTGCATAGAACTAGTGGATTTTCCCAGGTGTCAGAAGGTGATCTATCTGCACCAAGTGCTGCTTTCCTCAGCACTGCAGTTTGGTTCCAAGTTAAACCCATGAACATTTGGAAGGTTTCACTGACATCAGCACATTTGTGCACCTCCTGATCAAATTACTTTTTAAAGTTACATATAGTATAATACTGTAGTAGTCCCATCTATTTGACAGTACAATTGTCAATTATTCTGTGTCCTGCAGACTCCAGAAATCCCACGCAAAAGAGAAACCTAAGGTAAGGATCAGATTCCTCAATGCTTAAGAACTAGCTGGAATCCACACTGCATTCTATTAATTCCTTGAAAGCCTGGGAAGAATATCTTCCTATGTGCAGGAAGTCCACAGGAAATTCACTGTCTTTGAAACACACTAATTTTGGCTGATGAGTTTCAAAAGTTCTGGGGCCAAGTGAAATAGACAAAGTGAACAATTGCCATCCTCCTCAGAAACCAGGCCAAATAAGAATCCTAGTGAATTACAACTGCTTACCTTCCTTATATTCTTCTTCTTTCAGGTCAGATTTTGGCTTTGTCAATTGCCTACAATAAGAGAGAATAAAGTAGGGAGAAAAAAGTTACTGTATCAGCCCCATTAAGAACTGGGAACTTCACTGCCTTTATCATCCAGTACACAAAGAAAAGCCCTTAATCTACATGCAGGATTCAGATCCCAGATCTATTGTGTAACATATGCACACAGTTCTATACAAACATACATTTTCTAATGTGCTATTATGCTATAATGGGATAGAAAGTACAGCAATAATATCAGGGGGCAAATTCTTTGGTTACAGCAAATGAGAACAAGCCCCAACACAGCAACTGTGGACACAAACATGAAGGAAATACAGCTGCTTACCTTTGGAAAGCCTCAGGTACAAAGGGATCTCCAGAGAGATATCCCCACCTCCACTGCCAATCCTTAAATGAGGTCTGGGAAGGGGTGGATCCTGGTTCCACCCCTTCTGGTCACTCAGCTACACTGCATACAGCTGAGCCCCCCAGGGTTGGCCCTGCCTTCCCAGCAGGAGCTCAATCACTGGTTCAGGCTGTGACTTAGCATTTCCACTACATGTGCTAATCTTGAAATCTCAAAATATGAGCTATATCGCATGAACCAAAGTGGAAGAGAGACCTCCAAAAAGTTGGGAAAGGATGCATAGTTTTTGGACAAGACTTTCCCTCTGGCCTCAAAGTACTGACAGTGACATTAACATACCCAGAGAGCTCTACAGGTTCTTACCTGTAGACTTACCATTACAAGACTCACTGGGTGTGCTTTCACTCTTGCTTTTCACTATACACTGAACACAGATTAAGTGTATATAAATACAGTACCTTCCAAAGTGTCTCCTATTTACATTTTCACTCAATATTTCCATACTTTTCTCAAAGCTGGAATCTGAACGCAAAGTGATGTTTTTTCTTATTGGTCTTAAACAGTGTCCATGGAAACATTCCATTTTGCCAGAGGAAAATCTCTATGAAAAGAAGGAAATAAGAATACATTTATTGGAATCGTATTTATTCATCTGAGAAAGAAATTCTACCTCATTTACACAAGTTAATTCTTCAACCCTCCTGTCTTGACAGTGAGGTAGACACTGAGCCCAATCAAAAATTCAGAAAATTTCACAGCTAAAGCTCTCCTCTGTCCATCAACTTCTTGTGGATAACACAAGGTTAAATTCTGCAATAGAAAAAACAACATTCCAGCAAAGCCTTTTACAAAAACATACTATTTGACAAAAAAAAAAAAACAACCCACATTTTCAATTTCAAAATTGGTTCTGAGGAAGAGTCTAGCTTATAAAACACTGTATATCCTAGAATTAAAACCTATTCAGGATTTTTTCTCCCATCTCTGCTCCACTTATGACTGCATTGCAACTCAGATTTCCCAAAGGGCTTCCCTCATCCACAGAAAAGCAAAGGGAGCCAAAAAAACCAATTTGACACAGTAACCTTTTCCATGTTTATGTGTCTGAAAAATCTCATACACCTTGCCAAGTACTTCCATTAAGAGCTCTGTCCCCCCACAGAAAAATAAGAACAACGCTCTCAAAGCTTAGAAGCCTTTTTATTGCCATTGACCTTCTTCACACTGCTACTCCTGCAAGGATGATTGCCATGTTGATGCTGTGATGACTCTGAAAAGGAGCTCATGCTGTTTACAACATAGAGGTTCACTAAGAGTACACCAAACTAAATGAAGAAAGGAAGAAAATAGATAAGATTCTTCTACTTCTCCACGTCAACTTCACTATGAGCTATCAAGACAATGACAGGAGAGTGGTCACTAGCTGAGAGCAACACAGGGCTCATGGGATGCTAATCACCACAGCCTGCCCTGTCTTCTCATTTAGCACTAGTCCCCAGAGTGAGGAGCCCTCTGTGTTCACCCAGCCCAGCCCCTGCTCAAGCAGGGATATCCAGAACAGGGTGCCAACAACCATGTCTAGGTGGCTGATCTCCAAGGAGAGACCAGAGAGAAACCTCTCTGGGCAATTTGTGCCAGTGCTCAGGTACCCACACAGCACATAAGTACTGACTGGTGTTCAAGGGGAGCTCCTACGTTCCACTGGCCTCTTGTCCTGCCATTGGACGCCAATGGAGGAGCCTTGCTTTGTTTTTATTGCGCTGTCCCTCCAGGTACTTATATATGTTGGTAAGATAACCCTGAGCATCCTCCTGGCTGACCAGGCCCAGCACTCGGTCTCTCCTCACAGCAGAGGTGCTCCAGTCCCGTCACCTTGGTGGTCCTCCAGTGAACTATCTCCTGGTCTTTCTTGTATTTGAGGGCCCAAAAAAGGACTCCAGGTGCTCAGAGCATACTCTTCATGCATACGTGTGCAAGTGCTAACAGTCACAGAAGGGGACATCTGTCATTACGGTCCATGCATCTTTGATGGCAGCAAGTGGAGCCTAGAGCACATCCACATCGCACATGGGTGTGTACATCAACACATGCCAGCACCAACAACCTTCTGCATAGCTGGCAAGCAGGATAAGAGTTTTGAAACAAGGTACTGCAGCAGCCACAACTGCGGACCAGATAATGGAGACACGAGGGTGTTTACACCAACTGCTGTGCTGGGGGACAGTTCCTGGAGACCATAGATCTGGGCCTGCTAGCAGAACCCCAGGTGTGTGGGTGTGTGTCAACTGGGAGAGCAGGTCAACTCAGGGTCAGTCACTGGCTTGTCTGAGGCCAGTGGCATGCTGCACCCACATATGTGCAGAGGGGTCTGAGTACCAGCCACTGGATTCAAGGCTGGGCACCTTTGGGATTCACATCTGGCTGCTTGGGAGACCTGGGAGAAGCTACAGATACGTGTAGCGTACGGGACCAAATACTGCAAGGATCTGTGTTGCAGGTGGGCTCAACCCTGTTCTCAAAAATGGGTTTTCACCCTGATCAGTCAGAGGGAAAAGAAGTATGCTGCATGGACTGTTCACAATCCTCTGAGCGCTGTGGTCTCTGTCTCTGCTGTTGCATGGCCAGTCACACGTGTTCATAGCAATGTGTATTCCTAACAGGAATATTGTTTGGCTTCAATTCTGGGCAAACGGTGCTGCAGCACCCTCACCTTCGCAGAGCGACTGCATTCCACCACATACAGCACTTTCACAGGAGAATCGAAGTTTTAAGGTGTTATTTCTCAGTAACATAATCACTTGTGAAATCACACTCCAATGTTGGGAGCAACTCAGGGACACAAAGTTTACTTAAGCTTCTAAATATGCCAGTTGAAACTGCTGCATTGGGTATTTCTACATCGACCTAAAAGTAAATCTTACTTGGGAGAAAACTTGAAGGCTTCCAGCACCAGTTAAAAGTGACTGCAGCAATATGCCACACAAACCTCTGAGCTGAATTCCAAATTCAAATAAGAACAAACGCTTGAAGAATGCCGTATTGATTATTAGGGAAAAAGACAATGTAATGAGTTGGGAAATCTTTCTGCGCATACTTTTGCATTTTTTTTTTTTTTTTTAAAGACTTCTCTGTAGTAACTTCAGTGGCAAACAGTCGTCCTATTTCTTGATAAACTGTGCGACCCTTCTGTCTTCATTTTTTCCTCAATTCAGGAGGATGCTGACAAAACAGTAACAATGTACACTGCTAACTCTGACCATCCTCCCCTCCCAGGACAGCACTGCAGTTCAATGCGGGACAGAAGCACGAGGTTAACTCCAGCAAGCTGCCAAAAGAGCAGAACTAGCTCATATCAGTTGCAGAAAGCTGAAAAAACACATCTGAGGAGTAAAGTAAGTAGAAAGAAGCAGATAAACCAGAACAAGAAGGAAACTGGATGAAGGAATTTTGAAAGTTACTTTCCTTGTTCCATAGGAAGCGATTATCAACAATTGTTTCTCAAAAGTTAGCTGTATGACTCAAAAAGGAACCGACTGTACGCTGAAGTGCCATCAGAGCACACAGGTGTGTTTAGGCTACAAGGCTGTGAGCTCTGGTGCTGAGCACCCATGCAGATGACTCATAAAGAGTCTACAAAAGGGCAAGTTTTCACCTTGTCCAGACAAAAAGCAAACTGTGGAGCACACAGACCTCAAGTACTGCTCACAGTACAGTGATCTTGCTCAGCCTGGGGAGTTTTACTAAGACTGTAAACCTATGGATGCACATCTTCCAGAGGAACAGTAAACACTCGTTGTCTCCCATGGGACTCCTTGAGCCTGAGAACTTCAGAGAAGATAAGCCCAGCAGATTCCAGTTTACCTTAGACTTTCTGCTATATGCTCTTTAACCTGTATAAAGAAAATAAACTGAATAACTTGTAGATGAATGACTTGGTGATATAACTGCAACAGCTGCTACCAAGACTTTGCACATCAAGCAGTTAGGGAAATGACATCAGGACTTCATCTTGGTTCCAACTGCATGTTCAACCCTATCCTTTAGGACACTCCTACATGTTTCTGCAACCCAAGTGCTCCAGCAAAGCCTCACGGGTCCTGCGATGAAAGAATGACTCTATGCCTTGAAGCACATTTCTGCTAAGAGGGAAAAGAAAAAAAAAAACAAAACACAACCACAAAACAAAGAAAAACATTACAACTGGTTTCATAATAATGATCCTATATTCACTGCAGTGATTATGTTCACGTTGAACTTTCCCGTTGCCAGATGTTTTCTTCTGCCTGATTTTACATGTGAGGGAAGGCAACACTGCGGGCAGCCTGAGACCACGGAGGCTTCCACAGCCATTTCTTGTACACAGCGCAAAAGTGGGGATTTTTAAGCAGACTCCATGGCTGCTTGTAAAGAAAAGACACCCCAAGAACTTCTTGGAATGACCTGAAGTTGCACTAACGGAGGTTCAGGTTGGATATTAGGAGAAATTTCTTCTCAGAGAGTGGTGACGCAGTGGCACCGCTGCCCAGGGAGGTGGTGGGATCACCATCCCTGGAGGTGCTCAAGAACCACGTGGATTGGCACTGTGGACATGGTTAGCAGGCACGGTGGGATGGGCTGATGGTTGGACAGGATGATCCTTTTCCAGTTTTAGTGATTCTATGAGTCTTCACAGAATGGCCAGGGTTGGAAGGGACCTGACCTCAAGGATCACGAATCTCCAACGCCCCTGCCACATACAGGGCCACCAACCTCCTCATTTAATGCTAGACCAGGCTGCCCAGGGCCCCCTCCAACCTGGCCTTGAACACCTCCAGGGACGGGGCATCCACAACCTCTCTGGGCAGCCTGTTCCAGCACCTCACCATTCTCTCTGTAAAGAATTTCCCCCTGACGTCCAACCTAAATCTTCCCTCCCTAATCTTCCCTCTTCCTAGCTTTACAGTCTTGAGAAGACAAATGGGTCCCGACGCCCAGAGGAGTTCTGAGACCACAGAGCACCTTCACGGCAGCTACAGATCACCTCAGCGCTCACCAAACTGCTATTCACGCTCTTCTTGCCATCAGAACAGCGAGCGCTCTCTCTACAACCCTAACCACAACGACTTCAAAGTAAAGACATCCCTAAAATCTCTCTCGGGCCACTTTTAAGGTTAAAAAAAACAAACCACAAAGCCAATCAGAACGAGGCTCGCACGGGACAGGCAGGAAGCAGAGCGGGCGCGGCGGAGGCAGAGCTCGCAGAGCGCCCTCTCGGCGCGCTCCCCCACACCTCCGCTCGCAAGAACAACACGCGCTCCAGCGCCGACACCGCCGCGCTCCGCATCGGGCGCACCGCACCGCGCCGCGCCCCGCCCGCCCCTCCTCCCAAGCCCGGCCCGCGCGCCACTCACAGCCGATCTCCCCCTCCTCTCCATCCCTTCGGACCCGGCGGCGACCGAGGAGCTCTGCGAGCGGGTCCAGGTGCGGCGGGAGCCGAGCGCGGTGGGCTGCAGGGAGATGAACTCGGAGCTGGAGTCCATGATGGCGAAGGGCGGCCCGCGGCGAGCGCCGCTGCTCCGCAAGACCACCATGGCGGCGGGATCCCTCCGCGGCGAAAGCTTCCCGACGCCCTCCCCACTCCTTCGCCGCCGGAGAACAGCCTCGCCGCCGGCACGCCGCCGCTCCGCTCCCCGCGTTTTCAGAGGCTCCCTGGGTCCGCTCTGCCCGCGGCCTCTTTTTCCTCCGGCCGCGAGTCCCAGCCCGCCTAGCGGAAGGACACGCGCGTCGCGCTGCGTCAATTTGAGTTTCGGCGCGGAAACGCCGCCGCGCGCCACTCGGGCGCCACGGGATTGGCTGAGCGACGCGCTCCGCCAGCAGGGGGCGTGGCTTCCAGCAGGGGGCGTGGCTTCCAGCAGGGGGCGTGGCTTCCAGCAGGGGGCGGGCGCTGTGCCGCCGGCTGGGCTCGGCCATGGCGCGGCCGTCTCCGTCCTCCTACCGGGCGGCGGTGCCTCCTCGGGCTGCCTGCGTGTACACCAGTTGCTACTGGTAAGGGGAGAACCGGGAAAGGCTCCGAGGGCGGGAGGTGGCCGCAGTATGGCGGCGCGCGGGGCGGGCCCTGAGGCAACGATGGTGTGCGGCAGCGGGGCCGCGTGAGGTGGAGAACCGCCCGTAGCGGAGTTGGGTCTGTTGGGAATGTGGGAAGGAGGAGTAAAAGCCCCGCCTTCGGTGTTTTACAGCGAAGAGAACGTGTGGAAGCTCTGCGAGTACATCAGGAGCCAGGATCGGTACCCTCTGGAGGAGTTCTATGCTGTTTTCATATCCAACGATAGGAGGATGGTGAGCGGTTGCAGTCTGAATGCGGTGGAGGCTGTGAAGATGTGGTTGTCTGAGGTGCTTGGGGTAAAGGGAAGAAGCGTGGTGTCCCAGTAGGTGGTGGGGAAACCCTGCCCTGTCACCTGGAAGTTGAGAGGAATGATGGGATAGTATGGTTCAGAACAGTATCTGATGCTCCTAAGAGATAGGAGCTAGCAAAAATATTCTGACTGCAGCAGTGAGAGAAGGTGATGCAGTGGATCATCGAGATTCATCTGTACAGAGCTGGAGTGTTTCATCTCAAATCTCTTGACTTTCAGATTCCACTCTGGAGACAGAAATCAGGGCATGGAGATGAACCTGTTGTCTGGGTAAGGCTTTCTGTTTTCTTTCTTTTTTTGGTATTTAAGTGCATGTTTGATAATTGACATTTGCACAGCCATATGTGGGCAGTGTTATCCCACTGTAACATCTGCATATCAGTAAAATACTTTTTCACTGTGCAGACAGATAACTACTGGCACAGGTTGCCCGGAGGCTGTGGAGTCTCCTTAGAGATCTCCAAACATCTCTTGGATGTGGACCTGTGCATCCTGCTCTGGGTGTCCCTGCTGGAGCAGGGGTTGTGCCACTTGGACACTGAAGCTTCAGCCATTCCATAGTTCTGTATCAGCATTTATTATTTTTCTGCAGCAGATTTATTAAGAGCCTAAGTCCAGTGCTCCTTTTTATTGCTCATAGGAAAATAATAGTGAGCCATAAACCTACAAGTGACATAATCACGACCCTAGCTTTGAGCAGATTTGCTTGTGTTGGAATATGAGCCCTACATAGCTGAGAGGTGATGGGTTTAGTCTCAGACTTGAGTAACTCCCCCATATTGCACAGTGGATGTCTCTCTCAACACAGGTTGAAATGAACTCTGGAAGAATAAATTCCCCAGTACTTATTAAAAAGTGATTCGCATGGGACTTTAAAGATAGAAAGAGTGAAGCCTTCTGGCTACAGAAATCTTAGATCTTACACAGCCTATCTTATGCAGGGAAGAAATAGCTGGCACTAGCATTTACTTACAAAAGCTTGTCTGTTAAAAAGGAGGGTTGATTGCTGAACCAGGCAGCAGCCCAAGTCAGTCTGAGCTCAGATGGAGTTTTTGTAAAGCTTGAAGTTAATTTTTTCATGTACTCTGTAACAGACTTTTCTAAATGTTGTTTTTGCATACAGTTGCATAGGTAGATTGGTCTGTGAAAATAGCTTGCCCGAGATCTTATTCATTCATTTCTCAACCCTTTGTGCTTAGGGTTGTTCAATATTTAGTGTCAAAAGACAGAGCTTCAAACTTTTTGTGAGTGGATTTATTGTTCTCTGTAGTAAACTGCTAACTACCCTCAGTTTAACTTTGGAAAGCTGCAATGTAACAGGCAATGTAAATAACTCCAGTTTCTCTAAGCCTCCACCATGCCTGTGTTACTTATGTGCTAAGGAATAAAATAACTGGTATAAGGAGTAGTTCAGCTTTAGTTTGGCTGTCCAGGCTTAAATCAAAGGAGGCTGTAAAGAAATGGGAAGAATACCAAGGTTTACTGAGGAATAACAAGGGTGAGGTGCCATTAGGAATCCTCTTTTCTGGTGGCAGAGGTGTCTGGGCCTAAATTTCAAGTACAGAAATGATGTAAAGAAAAGGAGCTGTAGCTTCTGCTTTTAGGAGAATTTTTTTTCCTCTCTCTTTCAGTTTCTGATAAACAGCTGTTTAAATGATGAAATTCTTCTTCTCAGGACTACCATGTTATCCTACTTCACATTCCGGGTGGAGAGCAGAACTTCATTTATGACCTTGACACTGTGTTGCCATTTCCGTGTCCTTTTGAGATGTACAGCATGGAGGCCTTTAGGCCGGATGACAGCCTTCATCCAGAATTTCACAGGTGCTGACAAAAAAAAAAATAAAGACCATGGGTGGTATTTCCTGGAGACTAAGTTGAAGTTCTGTCTGTGGATAGACAATGACAGAAGTTTCTGCTATATTTCAGGAAACTAAATGCTCTGCATTATGTTTCTAAAGCTCTTTACCTAGGAGTTGCCATCTTTTAGTTATCAAAAGCCCTTCTCTTCCCTGCTCTAGTTTCTTGGGAGCTAGTTTGCTGCTTGGCATAATATTTCTGAGTTAAGTATTTAACTAAATTAATGCTGTTCAAGAGAAACAAGGGCTCTTGTTCAGAATGTCTAATTAATAACTATGACTAACAAATACGTGACAGTGATATTATATGCACACATCATTTGATACAATTTTTCATCATTTTAATATTATTTATTTATTTGATGCACTTATTTGATTTTATTCATTATTTCATGATTGTTTAGGAAGATCAGAATGATTCGAGCAGATGTGTACTTGAAGACATTTGCTTCAGACAGATCTCATATGAAGGATGCAAATGGGAAATGGCAGAAACCTCCTCCTTCATACCCTTGCATTGAAACTGCTGGTAAGATGACATTTGTGAAGCATTTGTCTTTTCTGAACACAAAGTCTAGCATGCCTCCTGGCAGTTACCATTGTCAAACATTAATTACTCAGTTTTCATAAACTGAGCAGAGAAGAGTGGTTTTGTGCTATCATTACAATAGGGAGATGAAAGAAAGGCCCACATAAGATGTTTGAAGTTTCTCTACCAGATGAATAGACCTAAGGATGCTTCTAAGGCAAATGGGCAAGTCAGCCAATTTTTCCCCAGGCACTGTGTGTTAGTTTAGATAATAGCCTGTGGTCCAAGTATAGAAACAAAGAGCTGCTATCTCTTATTCTATATGGATTCTTAAGCCATACTTTCCACACAGCATGTCAGCTTACACTAAACACATTTGCCAGGCTGGCTTTATATTTTCTCTCATTTTGTTCCTAGATGGAGAAAAGCATAAAGTTTAGTTTTAAAAGAGTTTGCCATTGTTGTGTGTTTGGTTTGCTCTTTCTGCTTTTTAAATAATACAATGTTAATTTTTAGAGAAGGTGAGTCAAAGAAATACATTTTGTATTTAGAGGTAAGTTTATTATGGTTTTAAGTTGCAGGGAACTTAATTCACAATCTTTGCATTGGCTTCTAAGAAAAATTTGTGTTTCAAACTAAATATAAATGAGTTATGAATGGGCATGAGAGCACAGATATCATTTCATGGAGCTTTAGGTGTTTTTAGACATTCCAGGTTATAAAGCATCTCAAGCTCTTAGTCCTTCTTTTCAGTAAAATGATATGCAGAGATGAGGTAGGAAGCAGAGAATGCCTAACCTAGACTGCAGTGCATGCTTCACTGCTAGCTGAAGCCTCTTAGGTACCAAGGGCTTTTTGCCTGTGGAAACCTTATTGTTGTGATAGTTGAGCATTAATGAAGGTATGACGAGTGTAGACCAGGCCAGACTGGGAAGAGATGAAAATTCCTACTCAGGTTAAAACGTTACTGCACTAAGTACAGTTGTAAAATGATCCAAGCAGTTGAAGATACACCTCCAGCTGTAATGAATGACTCTGTAGCTACAAACCCTTTAACTCTCCTCTTGACTGCATGGCTGAGCTTTGCTTTACTGATGAACAACAGCCATGTGGTCTCAGCCAACCTCCAAATAGTTTCTGTGATGTTGGTAGAAAATTAAAGATATATGAATCTTCATTCTTTTTATTCTTCATTCCTTAGTCTGTACCTTACTACACCAGAAGGAACACTCACAAGTCATCCAGTCAGACTCCTGCTCTAAGCAGGTGTAATGAGATCAGCATTCTTTAGGGCTCTCTAGTCTAGTCTTCAGCAATGCCAGGGACAGGGGCTGCAACACCTCTCTAGGCACAATGTTCTAGTATTTGACCACAGTCATGGAAAAATAATAAATGTATATTTTTCCTAATATGTAATTGGAATTTCCCATGTTCCCTGGTGAGCTGTGTTGCCAGGCTCCTCCAAGAAGGCTCTGCGTCCATCAGTATCCTCTAATCCATTACCTGTACACAGCAGTATGGTCCCTCCTTCATCTTCTCCGTTGAAGGCTGATCAGGTCTTGTTCTCTCAGCCATTCCTCAAATATCACGTTCTCCAGGTCTCAACAAACTTGACCAGAAGTCAGTGAGGAGTTTAGGTCTAACAGCTGTAGAGCAAGCATGTGCCTAACTTGTAGTGAAATCCTAGCCTTGTGCTTCAGTGATGCAGTTCTGTAGATCAGCAGGCAGCCTGCAAAACAACATGAAGGTTTAGAAAACATCACTGCCAACATGGGGAACCGGTAATTTCTTCCTTTAGAGACTGGTAAAGAAATAATTTCTCAGCATAGTTTTATCAGGCATAAAGTACCTTTTTTTAATCTTGTTTGAAAACAGTGTGGCTGACCTTTTGTTACCAGAAAAGAGCCTGAAGTATTAATGTTGACATCCATGCCAAATTCCATTGCGGATGATTGTTTTCTCCCCACCATTTCACTTAGAGTACTCTGCTTTCCATGTTAATTTGTGATTGTGTAGATTAAATTGCTCACATTTCATGTTAGAAATGACTTCAACTTAATGGCTGACAGAATTGGCTGCATATATTGTTTTAGTGTCAGTTTATTTGTGAAGCATATCTAGAGCAGAGCATTATATTTTTCTTTGTTATTGTGTGGCTGTCATTTAGAGAAGCTGCACTCATAAGCTCTTGAGAAGATGATTACAAAGGCATGCAAGGTTTTTATACTGCTTCTGTTTGATACGTGTCTTTGATGTTGAACAAGGGCTTTTTAAAAAGAAATTAAGGATTATTTTAAAAACAAACAAAAAAAAACAATGAAACCCACAAAAACACACACACACAAAAAAATAAAAATAAAAAAGCAACCCAGACTCTCATCACATCTCATTACATGCTAATGCAATTTGCTTTTGCAGCTGGCTCTGCCCTACTTGTTTACAGAGCTCGGCCTGCGTGTGTCCTTTTGACAGTGCTCTGGCCTTTGCTGTGAGTGCCAGGTGAAGCTGGTTAACCAAATTGGTGAGCTGCACACACAGTGCTTTCTCACCCAGCTTTGTGCTCCAAGCAGCTCTGCTGGAATCCTCATGCTTGAGCTGTATAGCAAACTGCTCTGCCCTGTTCCACCTGAATGCCACTGGCTCCCTGCTGGAAGAAGACAGAAGAGCCTGGTATTTTTTCTTTTTTTTTTTTTTTTTTGAACAAGATATTACTTAAGGCACAGATTCATCATTCTTGGGGTCTGTAACCCAGCCTGGTGTTCTCTCTTGCATCTTCCCTCTACAAATTAACGAGGTTTGGTTCTGCTTACCTTAAGAGTCCTGATGAGATCAGCGCTCCTTACTGCAAGCCCATGTAAAACACAGCTTGTACAGTGCTTTTCACAATTACTCAGAACAGATGGTTTTACAGCTTGTGTACAACTGTTAACATCACTCTTAACACTGCAAAGCCTTGTTTGAATTTCAGTTCTCCCCAAGTGTGTGGTAGCACATGTGAGGATTGATTTCTAAAGGCTTTTTTTCCTTTCTAGTTTTGAAGTAATGTAAGTAGGACGGTTGAGAAATTCTGGAAGTGCTTTGTTACTTATCTGTGCAACAGACAGGCTGCTAGACAGGTGCAGGGCAGATGTCTGCCATTTCTGCCTTATCTCTACTACCAGGTAGTGGTAGAATCCTTGTGAAAGCCAAAAGGGCCAGGGAGAAAAAAAAAAAAAGAAAAGAAAAAAAGACCAATATGAACATAAGTAGCTCATATGCACTATAACAGAATCACAGAATGGCCAGAGTTGGAAGGGACCTCAAGGATCATGAATCTCCAACCCCCCTGCCACATGCAGGGCCACCAACCTCCTCATTTAATGCTAGACCAGTTCCTCTCATTTGAGATTAGAAAGAAAGACATCGAGGCCTTGGAGCGTGTCCAGAGAAGGGCAAGAAGCTGGTGAGGGGTCTGGAGCACAGATCTTATGAGGAACAGCTGAGGGAGCTGGGATTGTTCAGTCATGGAAGAGGCTGCTCAGAGGACACCTTATTGCTCTCTGCAACTGCCTAAAAGGAGGTTGTGGTGAGGTGGGGGTTGGCCTCTTCTCCCAGGTGACAGCGACAGGATGAGAGGTAATGGCCTCAAGTTGTGCTGGGGGGTTCAGGTTGGATATTAGGAAAAAATTCTTCTCCATAAGAATGGTCAGGTGCTGGCACAGGCTGCCCAGGGGATTGGTGGAGTCGCTGTCTCTGGAGGTGTTTAAGAAATATTTAGATGTTGTACTGAGGGACATAGTTAAAGGGGAAGTATTGGTGGTAGGTGATCGGTTGGACTGGATGTTCTTAGAGATCTTTTCCAGCCTTGGTGACTCTGTAATTCTATTCTGTGAAAGCCTGGATCTGTCAAGCTTACTTCGGGCGCTTTTGCACAACTAAAGAATCAAGTAGGATAGTCAGTAAAGGTACAACTAAGAACAGAAATGTTGTAGTAGTGGGGGTGGCTTACTGAAGTTACGCAGCTTTCCGTGAACCTTGGAGGCTTTGTTTCAGACTTGCTCATCCTCCAGCAGTACTTGAGCAGCTGTCATGCAGAGCAAGTCTTGTGTCTGTGAGCCAAGCCAAGGCTCAGCTGCAGCACCACTTTCTGTCTCCTGTCGGCAGAAGCCACAAATAAATCCTGGCTATTGTGCTAACTGGTAGTGCACCGTCTATTTCTTTTGGGTTTTTTTGTCCCTGCTTGGGGAAAAACTGTCAGGCTTCATTAAAAAAAATAAACCTATGCAAGAATCTCAGGATGCACCAGTTAGGTCTTATTGACTGTGAACAAAGTTGTTTTGGTCAAAGAGGAACTGCTGACTTTGTTCATGCACAAATGCAAACTAGCATGATGCATACAGCATCTGAGGAAGACTGTGAGTGTAACATAGATCTCAAAAATACATATTTTTAAAAAGCTCTGCTGCTCTTGACTTTGTGTAAGTCTTACATAAAACATGCAGCTCCTTGCTTCTGCGGAGGAATCCTCTTGGTTTGTCAGCTGTTGCATCCAGATGTCCCATTTGTAAATTCTGCTGTGTATTGTTCTTTTATCTGCCTCAGAAAAAGGACTTTCTGTTGTTCTCGTATGTTGTTGTTTTTTGTTTTTTTTTTTTTTGCTGGGCTGCTTCCAAAAGCTGTAAGGTCTAAGATAACATGCATGGCATTCAGAGATAACATATGAATAATAAGAATAGGGGGGCTTTTATCTCCTGAAATGAATAAAACATGAGAGGAGTCTGATTCCGATGGATAGTTGTCATATTGCTTCAGTGCCACCTGCTGGCTGGTTCTTAGACCATCCATTGCTGACAGGAGGGTTCTTGTTTGCTGGTTAAAGCAGCTCTTCCTTTTATTAAACTTCTGTGACAGACTGTTTTGCTCTGCCACAATCCTTCTGAATGCAAGAGAATATTTCACTTCCTACAGATGTTGTGACAGCCACTTTCAAGTTACTAACAGCAGCAGCTGTGTTTGTAACTACTGGAACAATCCCCTTTGGGCTTCTTTACTATTCTCAGAATGTTATCACAAAATTATTATTCTACATAGTGCACATAAAACAGGAAATTACTTATCCTTCAAAACTTAAACTATGAGTAATCAAATTCATTTTAAAATAAAAGCATCTGGAAAGAAAAGACAAGCTGGGAATTGAAAAATAAGCTTAGCAGTTTACCTGCGAGCAAGAGCTGTTATCCTCTGCTAATTGTTCTTGAGCTACAACAGCAAATTGCTGGGCTTGTGCTAGTTTAAGTCAGCACATAATTAGGCAGAAAGTTGCCCTCTTCCATTCTTTGGAAGCAGGACCATGCTTGGCTGGATGTGAGGATTTTTAATGTGCAAAGCCCAAAAAGATTTTAAACAAGAAAAAGGTGGATTTAGGAGCCAGATCTTGCAATTGTTGAGAGCTTGGATTCAGTGAGTCGCAAAGCCATCGTGGTGTAGATGTGGTGCAAAGAAGAGAGCTGGGTGATGGCTGGCACTGCTGAGCCTGGGCTTCCCAAACATCTTCTCTTCCTCACTTGTGCCTTATAATGGCAAGCCTAGTTACATGAGGTTTTTGCAGGTGAAGCAGGTTACATCCTAGGATTTTCTAATCCATTCGTTAGGGCTTGCTCTGGTTTGGTTCTTAATCCTGAAGTGTGTGCGTGAATCATCCTTGTTAAAATAAATACTTAAATGTGACAGAAAAGCTGTAACAATAAATCCATGTGCACCCCACTCTGTTCTTTAAACTCAGTCTCTTTTAATATGTGTTTTAAAAGGTTATTTTCACAGCTTGTCAATGAGAACATACAGTAACAAGCCCACAGATAGGAAATCTCTGATCAGTATGGTTCTGAGTCAGCACAGGATGCTTGTACCAGACCAGCTCTGGAAAAGGGATATACAAGGCGTCTAAACCCAAACTGCAGATCAGAACGTTTCACTGAGCACTCTGGGATCTGCAACTGGGACAGAATGGTTTCTACCTTTCCTACTGAAGTCAGGTGAGATAAAATTCCAGGCAAAAGGCAGTCATGGTTACTTTTCTCTCCAAAACATGGCAACTTTTTTTTCCCCTTATGACCTCCTTCAGTGGTTCAGGAGTTAAAAATAAGTAAAATACAAAGTGTTTGCCCCCAACCAGCCTGAGCATCCCTCTGGGCTACAGGTGGGTCTCTGTCAGATGTTTCATCCTGTCTGCATGGCATGGCCTTGCAGCAAGCAGCAGGCAGAAAGCAAAAAGCTCAGGGCTGGAAGAAACACAAACACAAATGTAAGCAGCCTGAGAAGTAACAGATTCTGGGTTTGCCAAGGGTCTGACTGCTTCTGAAACACATAAGGCAGCTCTGGATCCTGACTGCTGCTGTAACCCAGTTCCTTCATTGCAAAGGGTCCCTGATTCAGCTGAGTTTGGTTCAAGACACTGTGGGGAAATACTCTGCCTTTGAGTAGTTGGGATTTTATGAATGCAGAGATAGTAGGTGCCTGTTGCGTTGCAGTTGCCTGCTTTAGTTGTTATCTGTGCTATGGTTCTCTGACGCTCAACCTTTCTAGGCTGCTGTTGCAGGGAAAAATCTTTGTCATGCATACTGTTCTATGACTAATGATACTTACTGATCAGGTAATACCATTATTGATTATTGCTACAGACAGAGGGCGGGGTCAGGGACAAATCAGAGAATCACTGAATTGTAGGGGTTGGAAGTCCCTTCATCTGGAAATCCTCTATTTGAAACCCCTGCTGAAGCAGGTTCCCTACAGTAGTTACATAGGGAAGCATCAAAGTGGGTTGTGAATATCTCCAGAGAAGGAGACTCCACAACACCACTGGGCAGCATGTTCCAGTGCTCTGTACCCTCTAAGTAAAGAAGTTTTTTCTCATGTTTGTATGGAACTTCTGTGTTCTGGATTGTGCCTGTTGATGCCATGTTACAGATGCTGGGTATAGACATTCTTGTAGTACTACTGCACAACTTGCAGAATGTTGCTGGACTGCTGCTCAGCAGATGTGCTCTGAACTCTGCCTTTTTAAACTCAGCTTTCAGTGTTTTGTTTTGTGAGATTTTCATTACAGCTGCTACTGAAGCTGAATCAGGAACTTCAAGGTTTCACTCTTCTGCTTCTCTTTTAGATTCCAAGATGAACTTGGATGATTTCATCAGTATGAATCCCAAAGTGGGATGGGGCTCAGTGTTCACCTTAGTGGACTTTGTGTATCGATTTGGCAGACAGACTGATTGCAGCCCTTCCTTGAAAGGACAGTGAAGTAAACAAAGAAGGTGTCTCTGCTTTAATTTTGAGTCGTTTTTTTTTTGTTTTGCTGCTCTTACAGTATATTTATGAACGGTTTATATTTCTTTATATGGAAAAAGTATTTGGGGAAATCAAATAAAGCTTTTTGTTTTGTAAGAATGAACTTGTTTGTTTTTTAATACATCAAATCAGAGGTAAACATCACATTATAAACATATTGCTTTTACACCTACTATGCCCAAACTGAAAAGAGTATTTAAACACTATGAAAAAAAAACAACAAAACTTTTGGAAAAATATGCATGAACTACTGAACAGTGTAGCTCAGCATGCTGAATGTTGTCACGCCTAAGAAGTGAGGACCAGTATATTTTCTTCATTATTTCTGTCACTTAGATAAATTGACCCGGTGCATCTCAATTTAGTCACTACATCCATGAAGGGAACTTCCAAGCACTGTGTAAATCCAGATAAGTTGAGGCTTCTGTGCTGTACAAGAGGAGAATTAAGTAAGTGCCTGACATTTCAGTTAAATTCACCTAATGCTAAGGGGTGCTGGAAGATGCACTTGCTTTTCCTTCTTGCATTGGCCGCACATTCTCACCTGTTTCCATATGCTTGCACTTGGCAATTGTCTGGCCCCAAGGTAATCCAGGCTAGGAGGCTAAACTAACAGAAGGAAGAAAAGGTTTTTTTCTTCCATTTAGCTCCTTGAAGCGGCTTGCTGTGAGGTCACACAGCTGCTGCTGCTGGTATAAGCAAATCAGCAGGAGCATATGGCTGGGGGGAAGGGAAAGAACAAGACTGCCCTACAGAAGGATGGAGACTACAGTAAACACTTGTGAAACACTTCAGTCTCGGTGAGGAAAAGCACAGTGACAGTTCTAAGTGTTAAGGCGATCATCTGATTTCTATCTACAGAAACATGTAAAATACAGGCATGTATTATTACCATATGTCCCAGTGGTTTCAGAGAGTTTACGCAGTGTGTTAACAGAAGAGATGGACTGTTAAACAGCTGGGGGATTGATTTGATTTCATCCAGGCATCTTTTCCTGTGCCATAAGGGCTGGCTGAATGCACTTTCTGTTGCCAGATGCATGCAGTATGGCTGGATGCTGAGCAGATAGGTTGCTAACATGGGTTCCCTGGGAGCCAGCATCGACTCAGCAGGAGTTCAGTTGTTGCAGCACTCATCTGCAGAGTGGGAGAGCTGATCTGTAGCTTCTGGATAGAGAATAGCAGGATGGAGAATGTGAAGAGTCACGTCTTGTTTGAATGGCTTACATGAAGCACGTCCGAAGTGACTGAATGCTCTGGCTTCCTGAGCATTCCTCAACAGAACCTTTAAGTCATTGCAGAACATGATGTTCTCATCCTTACCTACTTGAGTTTGTCATTTGATTTAAATACTGGGCTAGCATCCTGAGCTGGTGTTTGGGGGCTGAAATCTATGATGCTCCCTTTAGTGAGGCCGAGGTAAAAGGAGATGCATGGTTTAGTCTAATCTCAGGATCAAGAGAGAGAAGGAACAGATACCACCATTATTCAGAATGCACAAGTTAAATAAAAAATCAATATGAAGAAACTCTCTGTTTTCTCTCTAATCATTCTCAACAGATGCCTAATCTTACATGTAGCAGGTTCCGTATGTGTGATGGAAGCTTTCTTATGATAATTTGTTTGTAGCTCTTGTAAAAAATATGCCATTCCAGGTAACAAAAGGCAAAAGCCAGAGAACAATTACAGCACTGCTTGTGTTCCCATCACAGCATTTCCTCTGTGGCTCTTCAAGCCTGGAGGCACTTAGTAACATTGGAGAGGGTGTGCTATCAGAAAGTCAGATTCAGGAGTACACCAAGTGCTCATTTAGGGTCCCAAATACTAGGTGTAACAGAGGAGTGACTGCTCCCCAATTGCTAACAATAATTAGTGGAGACAGTTCTTTTTTTTTTAGTGCTGATTAGTCCTAATGGACCAACAGAATTTGTTCTGTGCTTGCTCCTTTCTCTCACCAGTTAACTCATATCCTGTTTGCTTTGGGGACCTTATCCTGTTTAATCTTTATGCTGACACTTGAGGCAGCCACATCAGTGTTGACTCATTGAGCTTCTAGCTGTGGACAGACAAGCGGTTTGTTCAAAGCTGCTTTGTCAAGTACCTGCAGAAGCAGAGGACATGAGAGTGCAAGCAAAGAACTGCTGCTGCTGTTTGTAGAGCAAAGGAGGCAGTGTCACTGACAGACACACCTGTGATCACCAGTGCATAAAACACCTCAGACTGAAAAGACATTTTACTGGGGGTAGATAAATGCAGTGCAGCGTACAACAAAGCATGGCAGGTACAGCTCCACTCTGGATGGTACAGCCATACAGCCACGCAGCCCAAAGATAGCATGCATGGAACACGTCCTGCTGTGAAACATGAAATAAAATGAAAGCTTTGCCATCACCTCTGGGCTGATTTGCTGGAGTGTGCTGGTGCAGCAGCATCACCACGTGCTCACCTACACTTGGTGCTACTGACAGCCCCGAGACTTTTAATCTCCCCTGCCTAGATTGTGTCCTGAGGCATGCAGCACAAAGGCATGCTGCTGATTTGCTTTCAGTATGACGATTTCTTAATGCAGCTTAGCTTTCTGTTCTCTTTCATCCTTCTTTAGCTTGTCCTTTCCCACAGTAAAATTTGCCTGTCTTTCTGTTGTTTGTTATTATTACAGCATTTATTTGCTGAGGGCATCAGGACAGCAGCTTTTCAGTCTTGGCCACCCTTGAGTTAGGCATTGAACAAGCAGAGAAGAAAGTTCCTCACAATCCCATTCTCTCTTAGCTTCTGCATGCTGTTGGTGACTGGAAATTGTGCAATACTTTCACTGCTGGGAATGTTATGGCAGGACCCTGCTAGCCCTACCTCCATGCTGTGCACCCTGTCTCACAGGTTGGCCCTCTCACTTCCTAGGAACTACGGGTGCAGTTCTGTGGGAGGTAGGAGACCCACATCTATCCTGCTGCTTTCTCTTCTTTGCAGCTTCTCTGTAGTTAAGAATATCATTTGCTCTATAGCTAACCTCTTGCTTACCTGTTTGGGATGTTAGGAAAGGAAAAAAAATAGATGTTTTTCTAACACATTTTCTTGGCTGTTCAATTTCTGTGAACATAAACAGCCAGGCCCAACTCACAGCTGGTAAAAATGCCATTTTTGAGGCGGCCAGCAGAGAGAGCAGTCAGCACGCAGCAGGCAGGCGGTGTGGCAGCTGCTACAGTTCTAAACAACCTCAACAGCAGCACGGGGCCGACCTGTGTCTTACGGGGCTGCCTGAGGTCTGTGCAAGCTTCTCCTGAGCATCGAGAGCCATGTGGCAAAGTCTCCCCGCTGTCTGCCAAGCCTTGGGTTCTGCTCAGCGTTCACAATTCTACTGAACTGAGCGTGTAGCACCTTAGAATATCAAACTAATCAATATACAGGTTTCAGAAGCTAAATTTAGGCACTCAGGACACTGCAATATGATCTGCACTATTAAATGTACGGCTGGGAGGCACCGGGGTGCGTTGATATGAATCAGATTCCAGGATCAGAGCCCAGGTCGGAACATTGTGGCCTGCAGGTCCATTCCCTCCTTGCCTGCTCGTCAGCCAGCCAGGGCTTTGTGCATGCTGTAATGCACGGCCCTGCTCCAGCCAGCTACTGTACAAGCGTCCATCTCTAGGGTCTGCTTTTCTCTTGCTATCATAGAATCTCAGCATATCCTGTGCTGGAAGGGACCCACAAGGATCATCAAGTCCAACTCCTGTCTCCATGCAGGACCACCCAAAAAAGCAGAGCATATGTCTGAGAGCTTTGTACAGACACTTCTTGAACTTCGCCAAGCTCAGCACCGTGCCCACTGTGCTGGGAAGCCTGCCCCAGGTCCCAAGCACCCCACAGTGTCCCTGCTGCTGCCACCATCACCTCCCACTGAGGAACAGATGGCCGAGGTGTGGTGGGGGTGCCCTTCTAAGATCCTTTGGATTTGCAAGCTTGGAGATCTCATCTCTTCTCAGGGTGAAAGCTACCTTGACATTTGTGTCTTCTAAGGTAAATGCCTACTCAGAAACTGGGGGGAGTGAACGCTGGTGAATTCCTTCTCCCCCTGGCTGTCTTGTGCAGGATGAAGGGTCCGTGGGTATCTGTGCAGGTTTGTGCAGTGGCTGTGCAGAGCTCTCGGCGAGGATCTGCTTTCTTCCTGCAGCCACGGAGTCCGCAGGGCAGCACTCGCTGTGCAGGGCTGAGTGCAGCTGCAGTAGTGGTTCTGGAAAATCTCTCCGGTTTGGCCTAAGATAAACAAATACGGTTGCTTAAGTATCTTCAATGTTTCCTTATACTTACAGTAGGAAATACCTTGGTTACTGAGGGCAGCTTAAACAAATCTTGCTTAGTTATCTAAGGCCGCTGGCAAGCCCCTGGGTTTCTGGGTGAGCTCAGCCACTTCCTATGCAGGAGGCAAAGAGCTTTGTTTTGTGTCGACAAAAATAAGCGTGCGAAGGACCTGAACTGCAGACAGTCCCTCATGGCCTCTGAGACATGGACTGGTTCACCTGGAGCTCTGGACAAGCAGGGTGTTTCCAACCAGCTGGATTCCTGACATTACATTACTTCAAAGCAGGAAGTGCTCATTTGGCATTGGGTTCAGCGTCATACAGCCTTCCCATGCAGGCCTATATCTGGAACCCAAACATTGCAATAAGGCAGGAATCATTATATGTTATGATTTTTTACGTGGCCTACACACTGAGAATATGGTAGTTATCTCAGCCTTCCCTTCTTCTGCGTGTGTAATTGCGGTGTCACGCATCCCACCACCTCGGCATGGCAGGGAGGGTGGCAGTGCCCCAGCTCCATTCCAGCCTCCAGAGAAAACATTCTGCTTTAACTGTTTAGCTGCAGAGCCTCCTCCGTGCCTTCCAGTTGGAAGCTGCCATGGCTTCT